TGGTCCTTTGCATCCAAATATTAAAGATAAACTTCAGTAGATTAAAAAAAACTTTTTTACTTGTTTTTCTGTTCTTGCTAGTACGTTTATATATAAAGTTTAATATGGTACAACCTCTCATGTTATGAACTCGACTAAACAAAGTTTCACTTGTAGGGTTTGGGATTTAACTACAATCCCCAGTAAACATGTTATTTTTACTATTTATAATAATAAGGAGAGACTAAAATTCTATGTCCATTTTTGCTATTCTAAAAAGACATACATGGCTACATAAGATGTTATTATTAATCCTATTCCATGACAACATAAATAGATTGTAGGTAGTAACCCTACTCTTACCCCTCCATTCATATATAGACCATCAAGTACACCAAGAAAGTTAAGAAGAGAACATCTAATGAACCACAAAATGATTATAAAATGTCACTAAAAAATAAGCTAATTAGATGTGGTAATTGTGGTTAGGTTGGACATAATATTAGATGTTGCAAGGCATCAATGATTAGATAAACCACATGGAAAAGAATTATGAGGTTGAAATGATTAAACAAAGTTCCTCTTCAGTCACCAATCATCAGGTAATTAGCTTCTTTAAATTAAATTGATCTTTATATATTAAATTTAACATGAACGAGGTGTATTTTACAAGTTTTTCAAAGTACAAATAGTGCATCTTCTTTAAGAACAATACACCTACAACTAGAGACAGATCCAGAGAAAAAAATGTCATTAATGCTACTGCTGGAATTGAGTTACAATCAAGTACTACTAGAGAAATGAGTGCTGGTAGAAGTTTAAGAAAAAGAATATTTGGTATTGGTTACCAATTTGCTGGAAATGTTGGACAAAGAGATGCTAGAAATGTTGGCAAAAAAAAAGGTCATGCTAGAAATATTGGCAGAGAAAGGTCATGTTAGGGCCAAAGTTGCTCCAATCAAAGAAAAGGATAAGAGTAGTACCTCAAGCTATGCTGGTGGTCAAGTTGCTATTCTTAAACATCTATCAATCCAAATGCTAGTAGCCAAACAACTAGTAACCTAGCAACTTGCAACTAAGCAACTACTAGCCAAGGTGTTTAGGTGCAATCTAAAAAATGCTCATATATACTAGTCTAGGCTGATGCATTGAATGTATGCTATTTGACTTGTTTGTGTTATAAACTAATGTGATGTATAAGCCTTTTAATTTGATGTATAGGCCTTTTGTTGTGCATTTTGTGTTGGTCTTATAAACTAATGGGTTGTTTTTGTTCAATAAAAATGATGATGGTCTTATAAACCAGTGGCTTATTTTTGTTTAATAGGAATGATGATGGCCTATTTTTATTTAATAGGAATGTTGTACTAGCATATAGCCTATTTTTGTTTAATAGGAATGATGATGACCTATTTTTGTTCAATAAAAATGTGGTACCAACAGATTACTAGCAGATGGCCTTATTTTTTTCAATATAATGGCCTTCAATTTTTACAATAAGAATGCTAGCTTTTCTGTAGGCTATATTTTGGATTATAATTTTATAAATAGATGTGGTATTTTTTACAATTTTGTTCTTAAACTTACCTACTTGGTTGAAAGTAGTATAATGCCAATTTGTAGATAAGAAATTTAGTAACAAAAACCATTACACAACACATTTAACAAAAGGCAAACTTTCATTTAATTGTTAAATAACAAGTTCACATTGACATTTCATTAAACACTTGGTGTTGTTACACACTACACCTTATTAACATTACAGTCTTGCATACAACTAAACCATATCCTACATCTTACCCACAAAAAATTCAGAATAACCCACTGACATCAATTCATTAACTCAAAAAAATCAAATTTTAAGCTTCTTTTACCTAAAAGATCAAATAAAATCAAAATCAGCAACACCATAACACTACCACAAACTAAAGCAATTACCATTTTCTTGCATCGGATCTGAACTAGTTGATGCTTCAATTGTGACCTCTTGCTTGAGATTTAGCTAGTTCATTTCAATTTTTTTGCTTCTTATTTCAAGCTTCAATAAGTTCTTCATTCAATTTCAGCTTTATGTGTTCCTATTCGAATAATTGTTGTTGCAAACACAACTCTCTTATTGAGCATATTGTCATTGCTTCAACTAATTCTTGTTTCCTTGCATTTGATCACGAAATCTCATATGTCATATTTGTCATTGTTTCTTTTAATTTTAGTATCTCTTTCCTATAATTTTCACATGGTATCTCATCAACCCGCTAAAAAAATTCACATTTCCATATTTCCTATAAATGCAAAAGCTCAAATATTAAACAATTTATCTACCTAAAAGCTATACCATAATTAATGAAATCTTACCTTATAATTTTTACATTCATGAAATTTTCGCCTACGAGTTATCACTTGTTCCAAAAGTTCTTATTGATAATTCTACATCACAATAGCATTATTTAGCATCATCCAATCCTTAACTTTTTACATATTATTGAGAATCCATGTAAGTGAGTAAGCCTCCTCTTTCTCAAAATAATATAGTAGGAAGAGAAAACAAATAAAGGAAATTAAAATGGAGATAAAAGAAGGTGGGAAGAAATGAAAAAATGAACAATAATTGTGGAAGGAATAAGAAATGAAGACCATTTCAGACTATTTTTCTAACGTCATTTAATAAGTGATAATAAAATAGTGACACAAAGTGACTAAATATCACATTTTAAATCTCATAAGATATTTTTATTTTGACTTTAATTATAGGATATATTTTTAAAGTTAACACTATTTTATATTTATCTAATTAAAAAATATTATTTATATAAATTTTTTAAATTTATAATCTCAAAACATGAATTTCAATGCCATACCAACTTATTTATAACAAAAATCAATACACAGACAAGGAAGCTATTAAATGCTACTGAGAAAAGTCAACATTCATAATATAAGGGCAAGTGTTAGCCCAGAACTTCCAACAAAGCTTGGTCTCGAAAAACACTTTACCTATGTCTTTGGATCTGGGTATTTAATTTCGGAGAATTTCTTCGTTTCTTGTTTGGTGGCAGTTCGGAGTTGGACCGTGATTGAGGTTGTCTTTGGACCTAATTATTGTAGTAGTTGGACATACCCAGAATCTAAAATCACGTGACTTGGGATGAAAATTGAAGTTAAAGAGTGAGATTTTAAAGATCTGAGAAATGGGTATTTGAATAAACATCTAAAGAAACGAAGTTTAACACAAAATTTTTAACATTTTTAAAGGAAGACAACAAGAAGAAGAAGGAAAACAGATACAGCATATTAAATAAAGATAGAAAATGAAGGAAAATAAAAAGTTAGTTGGAAGATTCAGAGTTAGATATACAACTTTAAATATCATCAGCAAATTACGCGGAAAAAAATGGTAATGAAATGTTGGAAAAAAAAGGATATTTTTATTAAGGATAATAAAAATAAATTTACATTAATATAATTTTTATTTTTTAATCAAATTATTTAAGTCAGTTTCTAGATAATTCTATAACTATTAAAATAAAATTTTATTAAAAATTTGACTTTTAAATAATATAATAATACGATAGAAGTTTCTTTCCATCAATCATTCAAATAAATAAAATTTTATAAGAAAAATTATTTTCACTGATTAATGCTTTTTTCATCTAAAAAGTAGCAACTGTTTTTATTATTTTATTTATGGATGAATAATGTATTTTCATCTAAATTTAAAGTTATTATTTATTCAAATTATTTTTATTTTTAATTAATTTTTATTTATTTTTATATTTAATTCAAAATCATTAAACATCAACATTAAATTTATATAAAATAATAAAATAATTTTATTACTTTTTAAATAATAAAGAAATATTTTTCCGATATTTAGATCGCGTATTGCTGTTGTTATTGGTGATTGTGATTAGAAATCAAACACAATCTTAGTAAATCTGGCTCGCTTTTGTGATTGAGAAGAAATTAATTGTAATCGAGTTTTTAATTGTAATTTAATATCTTCTCATCATTGTGTTTGCATTTGCAATTAAATTTTATAATTACCATCAAACACACTCCCATTGCAATGTTATCGAGCCTTTAGTATTTTCAAATCAATATTTGTTCTAATAAATATATATTATATTTAAAATTATCAAAGATTACATAGTAATTATTGAAAATTAAAATTTAACATTCTATTAGTATATGGTAATTATTTATTAATTTAATTTAAAATATTACATAAAAAAAGTGTTCATATGTTGAGATGGAATAGACCTAATTAAACATGGATGTATTTTTATTTATAAATTTTTTATTATAATTTTATAATTATTCAATTATAATAAAAAAATTATGCAATGGTCCATTTATAAGTGTGAACGACCTATATAATTTTAATGAATTCAAACAATTTTAAATTATAATTAATTAATTATAATATAATAATTATAAGTGATACTTTCACATAACACATAGGGAAACTTACTAGAAACTAAGCTTATCCCTTCATTCAAGCAAATTTCATTTAAATTTATTATCAAAATATATTTAAAATATAATCAATTTACCTATATTTTAAATTTTAAAAACTAAATAATTATTTAATAATAAAATATTATCACCAACTGTGCCTAAATTTGAAAATTATGGAAGACTCTACTCATAAACAGATTTAATTAAATTTATAAATAGATTAACTTTTTACTCAAAAATTGATATTTCTTCCTCTAAGATTTATAAAAGCCCTCTTTGTTAAGGTTAATCATCCATAAGACCATATCTCTATTAAGTGATTGAAAAGGTTCATAAAATTTGTTGAATACAAGAAGTATTAAATTAAGAATTTTTTTTTTTACATTAATTTTGATTAAAAAGATGTAATATTTTTCTATTTATTTTTTATTTTTTTACTTTACCCTAAAAAACGTATATATCACCTTATATTAATTAAAAACTAAGAACAGGAAAAATTTTTAAAAATTAAATTAATTAAAGTCCGTAGACCTTCTGGAAGCCTCTAAACGATGACAATAAAACGTTTTTTTTTTCTTTTCTTAAAAAACACCTCACATCAAATTTTTTTTCTCTCTGGCTGTCCCGTTGAAAGCTGAAACATGTCATTCGACGGGAATGTCGACGATGGCGGCGATAACACCGTTGGCGCAACCAACAAGCCTTTCTTTTGCTACCAATGTAACCGTACTGTCACTGTAACAATCTCCCCTTCCTGTGACCCTTCTTGTCCCATATGCGACGAGGGCTTCCTCGAAGAATACGAAAACCCTAACCCTAATCAAGGCTCCGCCTTCCTAAACCCAAATCCGAACGCGAACCTATTCTCCGACCCCTTTTTATCACTATCGGATCCGTTTGCTTCCTTCCTCCCTCTCCTTTTTTCTTCCTCTTCTTCTTCCACAACTGCGTTATCATCCCCAGATTCCATTGACCTTCATAACCCCAGCTTATTCCGGTCAACCCGGTCAGGCCGACCAGACCCTATCGCTTTCGACCCATTTACCTTCTTACAAAATCATCTCAATGATCTACGTTCAAGCGGGGCGCACATCGAGTTCGTGATCCAGAACAATCCATCCCAGCCGGGCTTTCGGCTTCCGGCAAACATTGGGGATTATTTCATCGGACCGGGCCTCGAGCAACTAATCCAACAGTTGGCCGAAAACGACCCTAACCGGTACGGGACCCCACCTGCATCAAAGTCAGCCATTGATTCGCTACCTTCGGTGAAGATAACGAAAAATCACTTGAATTCGGAGTTTAACCAGTGCGCAGTTTGCATGGATGAGTACGAGGAAGGGGCTCAAGCGAAGCAGATGCCCTGCAAGCATCTTTATCATAAGGATTGCATAATACCGTGGCTGGAATTGCATAATTCTTGCCCCGTGTGTCGTCACGAGTTGCCTACAGATGATCCTGATTATGAGAGGAGGGTTCTTGGGGCACAGGGAACTGGTGGAGGTAATGATGGTGGCGACAATGAGCAGAGGTCTGCAGGGGATAATGGGACGGTCGAGAGGAGTTTTAGAATATCGCTTCCTTGGCCATTTCGGGCTCGTGGGTCAGGTTCGGGATCAGGAGATAATGCGGAGACCAGGCAAGAAGATTTGGATTGAGAATTGTGAGTATTTGTTTGCCTCTTTTAAAAATTATATATGTATTATTATATCCCATTTTCTGGTGCTTTCTTTGTGTTGGCCTTCAATTTGGGGTTGTTCAAAATTGGGATTATAATTCAATTTCTTGTGTATCATGTTTGGTGTTCAATGGTCGTCAAATTAGTTTACCAGCTAATTCAATGAAGCTGGTCATCTGAGTTTTGGGTATATTTGGTTACAGGCCTTTGGTCCATTGTTGGGCATGGCAAAGTCCTACAAGAATGCGGAGAAGAAAATGAGAATGCCTGCTAGCCATGACAATATATCGAATTTTCTTATGTGTGATGATGATGCTTTTAGAGTCTTAGGACGTGGCAGCATTTGGTTAACAAATTACATGTGTAATTTATGTGAATTGATAGGAAAGTGTACTAGTCAAAATAATCAAATATAAGCATTCTTTACTTGGAAGCTGCAGACTGTCAAATGTTATGCCTGGAAGGCTTTTAGATTATTTGCTGCATTTATTGTTTGATGTAATGGAAACCATGATGCTTCCCAAACCATCAGTATCTTTTTTTCTTTTCAAAATATTTGTAAAATATCACTAATTAGAGTCACTGAGCTAGATATAGAATTGGAGATTATTAGTACTTCATTTTATGCGCTTACTATACATACAACATGGTCATTATCTATAATAGGAGTTTAGTTGCTATAATTATGAAGTTGAGATCAAAACTCTTACATTTTTTGTGCTCACTAGACATATTTAATTCATATCTTAAGCGTTTGAGGGATAGTAGAAGTAAAAGAGAGAACTTGCTTAAGCATCAAAAGATTTATTGTCAGGTTCTTTCCGGATAACCAAATTGTGGCATAGCCCTCGACATAAAAATTATAAAATTATGATAATAATAGAGGCTCTGTTTGGTTTTTTTCACTTAACTTTTCACACATGCTAGCTAATACGCATGCGGTTACTTATAATTTTGCCGATTTTGTTCAACGGTGCATTTGTGCATGGGATTCTTCTGTTAGTTTTTATTCTTCTTTATATGGATGATGGTCATATTGATTTCGGAGGGTATTATAAGTGGTTTGTTTTCTGAACTCAATGTTTCACAACTATGTAGTGACTAGTATTATATTTTCTGACTAGTTTTTGTCAAAAATGTTTATCTCATGTTCTATGCTTTTAGTTGGTAGATCTTTCAAGAATCCACCTGCACATATTAACTGTGAAAACGCTTGGTGGTCAATCTTGTGGGGTTGAGGTGGTGTGAATTAATATTATATAAAAATTTAATATAGTTCTCTGAGCTTAGTAAAGGTAAAAATCATGGGGCCATTGAAAGGTGGGGTAGCTGAAGCAAGATATGTTTTCAGAAATATTTTGTAGAAACATTACAGGACCATGTGATTTTCTTCTGGAGTTCTGGTAACTTATTGAGGTGTTCCTCCAACTGAAGACTAGAAGTTAGATTATCTTTATGTTTAGGTAATATGGTAAAGGAAAATATGTGAAGACATTGCGAGAGAAAAGGGGTGGTAGTGAGTGTCAGGAATAAGAAATAGAAACATAAGTTCTTTATATAGTTCCAGTATATGATTTGTGGCACTAACATCAGATTCTGTGGAAGAAACTCCTGTCAAGTTCTAACGTTGTGTAAGGTCTAGGTTGTGTTATGTGTTGTTACTCAATATTTCTATCTTAAGTTTGTTCCATTATTCAGTTTTCTGAAGAAATTTGTGGTCCTAGTAGCTAGAGTTTTAAGCCATTTGTAACTGGAGTTTTAAGCCATTTGTTTTTTCCTGTGGTACAATGTCTGGCTGAAATGTCGTAGATATCTTGATACTTAAGAGTGGCAAGTAACTTTTGATTGGTCACTTTGCAAGTAGCTTTTGATTGGTCACTTTCAATGCTGTATGTGTCTTTTTTTGCATAACATTCTTGCCAATGTTAATGTGAATGATTCTTAAATCCTGTTGAAATATTGACAGATAAATCAATCAGGATCTGAAATATAAATATGCTTGGTTGAGTTGACATTTTCTGATAATCCATGTTACTTGATAAGTATACCACTTGATGCATCCTTCATCCCCCAAGTGGCTAAGTCTAACCTTGTAAGGTGGTTGAACCTTGTTGTTAACTGAAATGCTAGGCTGTGATGGATCTGGGATAGGCTTAGGTTCAATTTATACCAGCTGAAAAAAAGTTGTATATCTCACATTCCAAAATATATTGAATGTGTTTGTTATCCGTTTCTGTATAAAAACCGATTGCTGCTATCATTCCATACTGCTTACTGCCAATAAAACTGTCTCCAGCCATACTTGTTTGCGATTTTTACTTGATCAAAGAATTTGGGTATTTAGCAGATTCAGTCTATAGAAAGCAATTTTATTATGCTAAAAAGACATAATGTTAATCATAAGGCCCACATACTTGTGCATACTTTAGTTGCTGGTGAATTAAGGCTATGCTTGATGGAAAGGTGGAAAGGTGGAAATATAGGGGGATGGTTCTGTTATTTAACCGTTGGAGTTGGAAATAATCGTAGTTACAGAACATATGGTTTCTTTTCTTGAATCATTAAGTAATCGGAGCTACCATCTTGTGGTGGCACATGTGTTTGTATGGTGCAGTGGTACTTTCATTAAATTTTGGTGGTGCAGATATATATGTAACCTGCCTGCATTTTCATGGTCAATTTGAATGTACTTTTCTTGAATCATATTTGTTAATGGCATCCTAACTTTGATTGGAATTTTGGCAGCCTGAAATGCAGCAACATATCAGCATTTCTCTCATGAAATATGTCGATAAAACAGCCTCATTCAAAGTTGGATATCTGAGTTATGTGTAAACATGGAGAATTAAGATATGTGTGGTTACGCTTTAAGAAAGTTTTAGCTTTGCTATTCGGGTATTATATGCACATCTGAATTTTTTACAGCTTTGTTTATCTACGACAGCTTCATTTGCTCGTTTCATACATTGTTTTATAGATTCTTTGGTCCTTGCTCAAAACTCTCACTTTATATCAACCAACTATTACTACTATATATATATATATATAACAACTACCTCTTCAGTTAAAGGTGGAAAACATAATTGAACCACCTGAGAAGTAATGTAAAAAGGTAAAATGTTTTTAAGCATGTTTCTGTGGTGTTTTCAGCGATCGTATCTATTTTTAGAAAGTGGAAATGGGAATCATATACGGTGTAAGAGGATGATTAGAAAGGGTTACCGCTATGAACTAAAAGGCAAGAATCGAGTTCCTTACTTTGTGCACAATTTTTGATTGGTTGATTATCCTTTTAACTTAACAAAGTGAAGATGTAAGCCTAACAAACGACAGATTACATATATATAATGTATTATGGAAATACTAGAAGATCATCAACTCAACTTGATTATGATAATTTGATTTGAATGGATGCAGTAATAGGAATAAGTAATTCTTATTTTATTTATCCATAAATGGAATTATTGTATATAATAAAACATACATTTTATTAGACTTGCCAATTTTCCAAATTTTAGTTTTAGTGTTAGCAAACTGTTCAAAGTTTTATCAATAAGCTGTTAATTAATTAAAATTAAAAAAAAAAAAAAAACTGTTTTTAACCGATTTTTTTCCTTTTTATTTTTGTTCTTGAAGTTCTCATCACGTTACAGCATTTTACTAACAATGACTGTAGTTTTTAATTTACTAACAGATCTCACTTGTCTGTTTGACTTTAATTGATACTTTATTCTAATTAAATATTGAGAAAATTTAAGCTAGAAAGATTGTAATTGTACCTTTATGGACCCATTGGCCCATTGATAAATTAGTAATTACAAGTTCGGATGGAATGGGCCGGCCGAGTTCGTGGGTACGTTAAACGGCAAATTTAACCCTTCATTTGTCGATGGCTGTGTGATTTTCCAGCAAAAAGGAACACAAGGCAGGCACAGACACAGGCACAGGCACGAATAATGGAAACAGAGGAAACAAACACAACTAATACGACTAGCAGTAGCAAGCAAGTTGCAGATATGGAAGAAGAGACCAAAACAGAAAAAATGGATTCCCCCACCAATTCCCAACAAACCAGTAGTTCTCTCTCATTCCCTTTACTGTCTTTAATCTTAATTTACTTATTATTTTAAAGTTTTGATTTATGAAGTTTCGCAAGCTGAAATAATCGAAATCCTGCTTGGAATTTAGCCTTCTTAGTTCATCTTTATCTTTGTTCTAATTCATCAGTTAATTCTTTCCCTTTTTATGTAATTCATTATTATTAGTTTATCAGAATACAAGATCAATTTGAGTGGTTGTGCAACTGTCTTCATCGGCATATTCAATTCTTGTCCTTTTATAAAATTTAATCGGAGTTGTTGATCTTGTTGCCTTCTTTTTTCAGTTTCTGACGATGATGAAATAGACTATTCGATCAAACCTGAATTCTATGACCCATACCTTGATGATAAAGATGAATTATGGGTTCAGAATAAAAGGAAAGGCCGTATTTCCGATGCTGTGCTTAGCTGTCCTGCTTGTTTTACCACCCTTTGCCTTGAGTGCCAAAGGTATGTGCGTTTGATCTATCTGTCTTTGCAATTTTTGGTTAAAGGAAAATCAAAACCTGATATTAGACCAAACATTAGTCTATGAATATTACGTCAACTTTCAAGTCCATTTTATATGTTCCACTGTTCCATCTTTATGAGTTCTCTGAATTAATCATTTGCTTTACGCAGTTGTGATTTGTGAATGAAATTGTTGCCAAAGAAATGGATTTTTTCTAAAGATGTGAAGTCAACTTGAAATTTTGAATGGGTTGATGCCTGGTGGTGTTCTGTTATTTTACCACATATTAACTATAAATAAGGTATGCGTAGAAAAAGCACTTAAACTAACTTCTGGGTAATAAATTATGGCAATTAAGATATGAATTCAAGCTAGTTCTTCCTCACTTCAAGTTATGGTTCTTAAACCAAACAGAAGGGAAGTGATACATCTTATGTCATATATCGGATATGAATGTTCCAACACCAAATTGCAATGCCATTTTTCCTGCTAATACTTGTGATTAATAATTTACAATCCCTTTTGACAGAAAACTATTCTTTATCTAACTGATGCTGCTTTTTTACTTTGTTTTGGGAGAATTAAGGGTTTGAACTTTAAGCTTTAAGTAGTTTTATTCATGAAAGAAGTGACTTTAAAATGATATCTTTTAACTGGGAAAATGTACAGATTTTATCATTCCTCGTAGCATTATTGAGAAGTTTGTGCTGGGATCAAGATGTGAATTTGTGCTTGTCCTAAATAAGCTTAATTGGGATCTTGCAGGCATGAAAAATATGTGACTCAATACAGGGCAATTTTTGTTGTCAACTGCAAGATTGAAAATGACAAAGCCAGGCAAGAAAGGGTAAAACGAAAAAAAGGCAAGAGAAGAAGAGAATCTAGCGAGAATGAAGCAGTTGCTGGTGGTGGAGAAATATTCAAGCCAGTCTGCTGTTCTGTCTGCTCAACAGAGGTTGGTGTCATTGATGAAGATGAGGTTTATCACTTTTTCAATGTTCTTCCAAGTGAGTCTTGACCTGCCCATTCTCAGTTGCTGAGGCTACCGAATAGTTCACAGACAGTTCATTTTTAGTGCTAGAGCTAGACTAGGAAATGTTACCTGAAACTTACCGTACTAACATTAGCATTACTTGCTTTCTCTCTCTCCCTCCGAGCATAACACGTCTGGAGTGGTTCTGCCTAGGGAGATAATGAGAATTTTTATTGGTTTTGAATGGTGTAATATAAATGTTGTTTCAATTGGACATGGGAAGCTCCCTCCCTACCAGTCCAAATCGAGCAGAAATTTGCCAACAGCCGCATAACCTTTTGGTAGAGTGCTGAGTTCTTAATTTCAGATATTATGATTCAAATCTTGACAGTTTCAAGTATCAACTGAAGAATGCCAAGTGATTGGTCAAGATTGTCCCTGGCAAATGGCAATATGCCAATTGCCAAATATTAACATAGTGAAGTTCTTTCTGGACCCAGCCCATTTTCTTGGGTTGGGGCTGCTATCCTAAAAGCGTAACAAAATCTATTATTTCCGGAAGGGAGATGTAAATCACCGGAATTCCCTTGTTAGGGAATTTTTTATTGTGTGCGGAGAAAGGGAAGAAAATTTTGTTGTTCATATTAGGAAACTAAAAGTTGGTCATGGCATGTCCATTACCGGATGAGAGTATTCTAGGGACAATTACTATGATTTACTAATCACTACATCATTTGTCTTCTTTTATTCTGGGGTATAGCCTTTATTCATTTGAACCTTTCATCGATTCATGCCTTCAATCTTCATGTCTGGCTCCGGGGCTTAGGGCACTGATCAGGTAACTCTGTCCAGGGGATTTCTGCTACCCTCGGTATCAAACCTCGGCCTATTAATACTAACACCCAAATAAAGGGAAAAATACCTTCATGTTCCAATTTGGGAAATCAAGGGATTCAGATTTACTTTTACCAAATCTAAAAACGCAAAGACAATTTTTCTTTGCCCTTGTATAATTTGAGAAGGTGAGGAGATATTCCCCACACAGAGTCTGGCCAAATGATTATGGCCATTCTGTTGTATACAAGTTATGTGTCACCCTGCCATTGGTGTTTACATAAGCATGATATCTAATTGCATCTCATTTTCTAAAAGAAAAAGACGATGAGATGATATATATTGATATCCTGCCAATGCCATAGTCCCTTTCATAAATGGCTCCAAAAACATATGGAGATGGGCTCCAGCTGTTTGACATGTTGCAGATTTTGTGGCTTCAAGTATGTTTCCCTATTCCATCACTAACATAAACAAATACATACATACATATATATATATATATTCATAAATATTCATATTTTTGCTTGTTTATATAAAAAAAATGGGGGAGTAATGATATAATAACCGAGATGGGCCTTTTTTAGATCAAATTCTGCACTTTTGACGGTGAGTTGGGAACAAGAACTGAAGTTGGATTCTTGTTTCCTCACTGTTTCACCCTTCCTAGTAAAAATTGCTTTCTCTTGGCTCTCGTTCCTTTATTAGGTCGTTTCATGGTCTCTCCTTTTCTTACTTTTGTTACTTTATTCTCTCCTTTCACAAAAAAACAGAAGTGTTTTATATGCAAAAATGTTATTTTTGGTAAGTGATTATAGATATTTTCAAATTTTGGTTAGGCTTATTTTTTTCTTAAAATGATTTTAAGAACACATTCTTTCACATCGATTTAATTCATTTAAAATAAAAATAAATTCACTTAAAAATTTTCATTAAAATCTTTTTATATTAAAAAATACATTTAAAATAAAAAAAAATTGAATAACCCTCTTTGAAAAAAATAGAAAACAAAACAAAATTATTTCAAAACATGGCAGGGATACCAAACAAAACAAAACTATTTGAAGACATGGCAGGGATACCAAAAGCATGTACATGTAAAAAAACCCCTAGGTTTCGGAGTTTTGGGCCCTAATAATTGGAAATGCCACTTTTAATAATAATATGATGATGATGATGATGATAAGGATGAAGTCATAGTAGTATTAATTAAGGAATAATAAACTTTTTTAAAGAAATATATGTAATAATCAAATTATGATAAAGTACAGCAAATCTTTGGCATCATTATCATGGATTGCCATTTGGGTCAATTATCGCTAATATTTATTGAAGTTGTTAGGAAAAATATATTAATCATATCTTAATTCAAATAATTAAAAATTAAATAATCAAAGCAACACCTTAAACGCGTTATTAGGATACGGAATATATACCCTCGTGTTCTAATCAAAGTAACATCCTATTTTTGTACATATATCTTTTTTTTTTCATTAAAAACGCGTTATTTGGACCCACAATGGGCTCATTGACTGAAAATGATTTTTTAAGATTAAAAAATATTTAAGGGGTTTGTTTTTATATATTAGTGACGAAATTTTTTAATTTTATAAATAATATTAAAAGATTATTATATATTATTTTATTTTATAAAATTTAGTTATCATTAATATTAATCAATCTGAAAACGACGTCATTTTACGTAAATGACTAATGAGTTTGAGCTTATTAGCTAAAGTTTTAGATTAGTTTATTTTTTTTTTATTGTGCGGCCCACATTCGGCCCATGTAACTTGAAGAGGTAATTTAAGGAGTCTTTGTCTTTGCTGCTAAAATGGTGTGCTTAAATTCTAACCAGGAAAAATGGGTCCCCAATTTTGACTCCCACAACAACAGTTTTTATTAGATTAAATTGATCAAATGCAATCTATGCATTTTATTTATTTTTGGTCGTGGTGAGGTCAAAGAGCAAGTATGCCTCTGTCTGTTGCTCAACTCTCTTGTGAGTGGATCTTCCATAGGCCCCCCAATTATGACCAATTTGAAAAATTTTCTTGCCATTTCCTTGTAATTATGAAACTGTAAAACATTTTATATCACCTATCAACTTCTAAATGTTTTTTTTTTTTTGTTTTAATTTTTCAAACTATGACAAGAATCAAGTAAAAGTTGCCTCCAAGCCATGTTTATAGGTAAATATAAGAATTCATGTATTTAAATTATGTTTGTTTCATGTCCAATAAATTATTATATTATAATTTTTGTTAATATATTAATATATAATTTTTATAAAAATTTTAAATAATATAATTTATTTTTATATTATATTTAAAATTATCAAATTCACATTTATCTTTTAATAATTGACGTACAGTTTAGGAAAATCTTTGATGGGTAAAATTTTGGTGTCATCTAATTTCTTCATGTACGATGATGAGGATAGGATTGACTTTGAGTGTTTTGGCTCAGACACCCTTTCTCCATTTTAAAAGCTTGTCAGCTACCAATCCGGAATTTGGTAGGTAGGGATGTTATTTCTTTCCTTTCCTAAGACAGTTCCCATTCAACCAACACCCAAAACTTTAATTTCTTTTTTTTTTTTTCCCTATATTCATATAATATCAGTTGCGAAGGTGTTCTTTAGGGCAGAGTTTATTTTATTGTCAATAATCCCGTGATTTATTATTAAAATATTAAAATTTTAATTTTAATAATTAAAATTTAAATCTTGATATTTTAAAATATATATTGTATTGGCTATTGTTATTATTAAAAGAAATTTGTAAAACCTTCTTTTAGACTATAAAATACCCTATAAAATACAAATATTTAAAGTATTTTTTCAGCTATACCTTAGTGGTGATAGTATACCTTCGTACTTTTCAAATGTTGATGGTTAGCAAGAAGTTACTAACCAGTAACTAATAAGGGCATTAAAAAAGAAACTAAAAATTTAGGTGATACTAAGTGATTGGATTTTAATTTTAGTAATTAATTATCTTCTTGAATTAAGGATTGATTTAATTAATTTATATAATTATTTTTAAAAAATTATATTCATTAAATTTAAAATTTAAATATCATCACGTACAATTTATTTTTTATCCTCACACTTCTATTTTTTTTGTTTAAAAAAAAAGTTTCTTTTAGCCTTTATATATAATATATACAAAGAGACATTTAATTAGATTAATATAATTTTTTTAAAATTTTTTAATCAAATTTTTTATTTAAATAAATTACGAATTTAATTTTGATTCAATGATTCAAAAAATATAAAAAATTATATTAATATAAATGAATCCCTTTGGGATATATACATATATATATATATATATTTAATCTTATGCAAGAATTCGGTACCTTGACAATATATATATATATATATATATTGAGATGACAAATAAATTAGAGCTATTGGATGGATTCTCGTTGGATGCTTCCAAGCAATTGCCCATATAAAATCAAAGAGAAAAGAAAATAAAATAAAAAAAAGACAAATATTGGAAATTTTGAGCAAAAAGACAAAATGGTCCTTAGTAGACAAGTTGTCCCGTGATAGAGTGTATATTTGATAACCTGAAACATGACCTACAATAATAAACTGCAATAAGCAACCTTATTGATTGGATACGCAGATTCTAGAACTCCAGGGGTTCAACCGACGGCAAGACATACTCCCACAAATCATTGTCGCGAAAAACGGGGACCTCATTGTTGTTCAAATTGGGAAAAATGGCAAATAACGTAAATAAACAGCTGGCTAGATGTCAATTGGCAACGACTGACTCACTTCATTAAAGTCTTTTTACCAGTTTCACGCGCCATCACTCACATCGTGCACATCACGCTTCCTCGGGAATCACGTTTCTTCAATAATTTTTTTCCTTTTTAATTTTTTTTTTAATTGCTCAACCAATGGGATTATGCCATGTTTTAATTTTCGATTTGGGTTTTAATCCCGAAAAATCATTGCCTGCGCCCCGTTTGCATAACAGATTTTACAGTGTTTAATTAACTGTCAACCGTTTAAAGCAACAAATTATGAACATTACACTATATATTTATAAGCATGTAAGTGAATATATTTTTTAAATAATTAAAAAATTATTTGTCAACAATAAAGATATGATATTCATATAATAGAAATATACTAACAAATACCAATTAAAAATTACATAAATTTTTTTTCCAAAAAATTACATAGTTTTAAAAATAAAAAAGTCAATTTATCATTGTAAAATATTACCCTAAAATTAATTAAAATATATAAATATATCAATAAAGAAATAATAATAATAATAATAATAATAATATTATATTAATATTATTATTCTTTTATATTGTCAACAATAATGGAATTATAAGAAACTTTTAATGAATTTATAAACAATCTTATAAATAGTAAAAAAAAAAAGTTTATTTATGAATATGAAAAAAATGTTTAAGATCGGCTTATTTATTAAATAATTTTAAATTTTCATTTAAAATCATTATTTAATTTAATAAATAAATATAAATAAATCAAAATCAAACTCATTTAAGAATTATTTATCAAATGATTTAATTTGCAAACAACCATTTTTTGTTGGATATAGGTGTTAGTTGCAATGAATCCACTTTTCCCCTATCACTCTCTTGGAAAATTTTATGTGAAGTTTTTAAGTGAAATATATAAAATTCTTTATTAAAAACAATTTAATAAAATTAAAATAGAAAATAAAATATGATATATTGAAAAATCTTATTACATAAATTAAGTATACAAATTTTAAAAAGCTAAAAAAGTTTTATATATTTTTAGATATATATTTTTAATAAAAATTTCGATATGATTTTTACCATTGAATAAGTACTTATTAGATTTGAATTATAAATAATATTTTTAATAAATTTTTACATATTATTTGTCTTTTCATTTAATTCTATTAATCCATCTGTTTTTAATTTTAATTTTAATTTTTATTAAATCATTTTAAAAATTTTAATAAATTTCACTTAAAAAATTTCATATAAGTCTTTCTCATTACCCTCTTACCATTTTGTTTCTCCTTGAAGTCATTTTTAATACCATCAACTCATAACTACAATTTTAATAAACAATCAAACATATGCCTTTTTATTTTTAATTCTACTAGATGAAAATTTTCGAAAACGAGTCTAGCCAACACTTATATATAAATCTATTTTTTCTATATGCAATTAAAGATTTTATTTTAATATTCATTTAATTTGTTATTGATTTCTTAAAAAGTGTCACTAGACACGTAAACACATCATTTTATCAATATATAACTTAGAAAATGATAAATTTAAAATCAAAATTTAAGTTGGTTGATACATATATTTATTATTGAAAAAAAACTGATTAATTGTGTATTGTGGTACTTCAAATCTAAAGGTTAATATAATAAAATTATTTTAATGTGATTTTGATGACACTTTTTTATTAGTAGCTCTTCCAATATTAAAAACCAAAAGGATAGTCCCTATCCTACGTTTAAATGTCATCACAAATTCATACATATTCAATGCTTTTTGCATAATATGAGACTTATCATACATATTCAAATTGAATTGTTCAATTTTCTTTTTTTTTTTTATTTTCTTTGGAGAAGTTTTAAAATTATTTTTGTCTTTCACTTATTAAGTATTCGAAAGTCATCTTACATAAATCATTGTTTTTTTTTTTTGTATATATATTAAAATATATTGAAGTTAAATTCATAAACAATTTAACAAAATTTAAATTAGTGTTTTTAAATTGTGTGCCAAATATTGAAATAAACAAAAATAATTAGTAAAATATTGAATTCTTAATTTTAATGACTAATAATTATAAATACAAAAAAAGATAATTGATATATAAATAAAAATAAATTATATTTTTTTTTACAAAAAAAAATAAATTTACAGTATAAAAATAAATTAAATAAAATTTAAATATATTTAATTTTATCTTTTAAAAACATCTATATAAATTAAGTGAGTTAAATTTTAAATCAAAAAACAAATTACATGTTTCTGCGAGATGACTAAGATGCAAATCAATTCTATTTAATAGAAACCAAACAAACAACATTTAAAAGTGATATAAATTATCGTAACCTCTTAAATTAGTTGTAGCATGATGAAGGTGACGACTAACGTGGATTATGATACTAGCTAGCCATATAGTTGGGAATTGAGGATAATGTTGCTATTTGTCATAATAACCCCGTACATCAACCCCACTTCCAACCTATGATTGTTATTTTCCCACAAGCCACAGACAAGGAGAGAGTGCATTACACACAGAACCAAGACATATTTTCATCGTAAGCAAAAAAATCCTTCAAAAATTAACTTATTTTAAAAAAATATAATTTATTCTCTTGTTTTTAGATGTAAATTATTTATAAAAAAAAAAATACAAAATCCAATCCCTTCCTGTTTTTATTCTTTTAGTAGTTGATTGAATCTCATCATATTTTTTATGCGATATAAATAGGGTTAGCATCGGGTCGGATTAGGAGCGAGTTTTGCTCGCCCCGAATCTGACCCGACTTTAAGCTTTATTAAATCCGAATCCGATATTATATAAACAGTATTCGATTCGACTCGATTCGAAATTAATAAAATATTATTTTTTAAAATATAAAAAATATTATTTTTTAAATATAAATATTTAAAAATATCATTATAAATATATATAATTAAAAAATTAATTAAAAATAATTTTTTATATAATATTGGTCGGATTTTAGGCAAACCCGAACTCGACCCGACCCCAATTATTTCCTAAATTTATCCGATCAAATTCGACCCGAAACTCGAATTTCAAAAAAAAAAAATCGACCCCATTGGATTGGGTTGGGCCAGAACCCGTCGGGGATGGGTTAGTTCGCCGTCCCTAGATATAAATAAATTTATTGTACTTTTAATTAAATTTAAATATCAATTTCAATAAGATTAAATCAATATAAAATTTTTATTAAATTTTTTTTTCAATTATAACTTTTTTTCTTAATCACAATTACAATAAATTTTATTATTATTTTCAATTTCACTTCAACCAATCTCACCACCAATTCAAATAAAAACTGAGTTTACATTCAATAGGCTTGAATTCTTAATCACAAGCCATTATCTATTCTATTTCGTAGCATTTAAGGTTTATGCTTATAGCCCTTTATTTATTTTTCTAAATATTATTACACTTTGCTTATTAGGATATTGTTTGAGAAAAATATATAAAAGAAAAATAATAATTTTTTTAATTTGATAGTTACATTTCGTAATCCATTTTATAATTTTTTTAATAAAATTTAGATTAAAACTTTTTTCTCCCTCTCACCAAGCCATAACTTTTGGTTTATAGTTATTTATAATTTCGTGACATAAAAAGATAAAAATATAAAAAATTTATTTAATAATGATAAAAATATACAAAATTACTACCGTAAATAATCTTAAATTCCTTATGCTTAAAAATCATGTATATGAATATAATATACATATATACCTAATAACATTTGTGACATGACATTTATGTAAACAATTTTTTTGGATAACAAGTAGGATTTTTTTTCAACAAAAATAAGATAGTTTCTTTTAATTACATATTAGATAATTTTAAATTAATTTAAATATCAAAATTTTAAACCAATTTAATTTAAAGACATTTTTTAATTAAAAATATAAAATATGGATTTAATCTTTATAATGAATAATTTTGGTTATTTATCAACTAACTTTATTTAATAAATTATTTGATTATGAAAATCTTTCAGCATGTTTAAAAATTACAAAAATTAAAATTATCAAAATCTTTTAACAATCCACTCTATAGTTTATCTTGATTTGAATAAAACAAGAATTATCTTTTGAAAATTTGACATAGTGTATTGAAAATTCAAATAGCTTTTTCATATTAAATTTCTAAATAGTAAAATCAAGATTATGTTCATTTCAACTCTAGCTATCAAATTCATATTTTAAATACACATAAAAATTTAATTTTATCTTTATCACCTATTATGTGCCCCTTAAATTTAAAAAATTATCTATACAATCTTAAGTGCCACCAAATTTATTCTACAAATTTAAAATTACAAAAGTAATTTGTTGTATCAATTTTTTTGGTCATTTGCAACTTTTTTTCAAAGTATAATTCTACTACTATTGCAATTTACTTTTCGATTTGCAACTTTATTTTTTCAAAGTATATCCAATTATTATTGTAATTTTATGCTTATGAAAAATAATATTTTTTTCAATTAATTTCTTTCATATATCTCCAAACATTTTACATATTTTGTACAAGAATTTGATCAAGATTACAAAAGTAAAAGTATGTCAATATTTTTTATTGTTTAATTCATCATTAAAAATATATATGTTTTTAATCTTTTAAGAAAGACATGTAATTTATTTTTATTTAATAAAACATGCAGGTTTATAAATATTACTGTAGATAAATATAATGCAAAGTAAAAAAAAAAGTCATTTTCTTTTTTTTTCTCAAAAATTTTTTTTTTTATGATAAGTTAGTCAAGTATATGAATTTTATATATGTTACAATAAATTTGAAATTTTGAATATATCTTTAAAAAAATGTTAATTTGCATATATACACATATTAAATAAATAAAATTAACATGTACATTGCATGGTTCACAATCAAGTAGTATTTTTAATCAAATAAAAAATATAAATTAATTTTTTAATTTTATTTGTGAAATTAAAAAATTTCATTGATAATATATTAAATATTTTTTTTGTAAAAAAATTATTAAATATATTATAATAGAATTTTTAAACTTCACAAACAAAATTAGTTGAATAACACATATCCTTATATATATATATATATATATATTAAAAATATGAAAAACTAATATTATATAATAATTTTTTAATTTTACTTATAAAGTTAAAAAACTACACTATCATTAATAACCAAAATTGTTAATATCGTATGAGATAACATTTCGATTTAAAAAAAAAGATGGTATATATCAATATCAATTGTTTTGACATATTATTTCAGATTTTTTAGTTTAGTATAAATATATTTATAAATATATATGAACTTGTATATTGTAATATTATTAATAATATAATAAATAAATATGTAATATCAAAATAAATAAGTGTAAAACATAAGAAATAATATCATAAAATTTTCATAATATTTTTAACACTTAATTTGATCATATGATATTTAAATAAGTATTTTTATATAAACATTAAGATAAAAATTAAAAGATAAAAAAATTAATTAAAGTTTTATGATTGTTAAACTTTATAAAAGGAATATAATTATTTTTTTGAAAAAAAATTAAAATATTTATAAATTTTAGTTTGAAAAAATAAAGTATAAACAAATTAAAATTAAAAATTAAAAAACTCAACTATTAAGAATTATTTTATCAATTAATTTTATTTTTAAGTATTAATCGAAACATATTATTTTATCAAAATCATTCAAATAAATCAAAATTAACAAAAACAATTAATATTATTTGATATCAAATTTTATATATAAAATTACTTTTAAATGTATTATATTTTAATATAATTAAAACGTTTTGATATGACACGTATCGAATCGAAATTAACAATTATGATAATAAACTCATATAAAATTACTTTCCGACCAATAGTATTACATTATCCGAAACAAACGACCTTGGAGTCAAAGAGAAAAAACCCCGTTAATTTAATCTAAGGTGGACGTGGCTAACAATTAATGGATAATGAACTTACTCCACGTAGGTAGAATCTTCAATTCAAAGTACGGAAATGCCAATGGGTCCCATCCTCCCTGACAGCCTTCACTTAAATTCCCACGGTAAAAAAAAAAAGGGGCGCGTGGGAAGCGTACAACAGGGAAATTGGGAAAGATGGGATTCAAAAGGAAATTGCGACTGTAGGGGTTGTGTGATGTGGGACCCACCTCCCATGTGCCCTCCCTCCTGTCTCCACCAGCTCCTGCCGCTCAATGATTAGCACTCTGCTTCCTCTCCCAAAACCCCTCCTCTCTCGGTCTCTCTCTCTCTCTCTCTCTCCTCTGTGCAAAAATTCTATTTCCAATTCTTCTTCTTTGGAAATCTTTAGTTGCCTTTTAATCTCCAATAACCCGAAACAGCAGAGACAATCTTTTTAGTTTGAAGAAAAAAAAAAGTAAGGGAATTTTCAGTAAGAGTGAGGTAATCCTTCCCCATGTCAAATTCAGAGGGTGGTGCTACAAACGGAGCCATAATGGACCCTCAGAGACAACAACCTCCAGGCAACGGTTCCCTCGGCGTCAAAAAACCTCCTTCCAAAGACCGTCACAGCAAAGTGGATGGTCGTGGCCGAAGAATCAGGATGCCAATCATTTGTGCGGCTCGTGTTTTCCAGTTGACTCGTGAGTTGGGTCACAAATCCGATGGTCAGACAATTGAGTGGCTGTTACGCCAAGCTGAACCTTCCATCATAGCCGCCACTGGTACGGGTACAACTCCCGCCAGCTTCTCGACAGTGTCGGTTTCCGTCCGCGGCGGAGCTAATTCTACTTCTTTATCGTCGACGACTTCTTCTTCGTCTTTGGATCATAAGCCTCTGCTGGGTCCTACCTCTTTTATACTCGGGAAACGCGTCAGGTCCGACGATGATAGCGCGGGAAAGGACGATTCCGGAGTGGTCACGGTGGGACCAGGTGTGGGGTCTATTGTAGGGCCCACAGGGACACACACGGGTGGGTTCTGGGCTCTTCCAGCGAGGCCCGACTTTGGTCAAGTATGGAGCTTCGCGCCCCCGCCTCCGCCGGAGATGGTGGTACAGACGGCTGCTGCTGCTGCGGCAGCGGCTGCTCAGCAACCTGCTGCTGCCGCGTTGTTCGTTCAGCAACAGCAAGCGATGGGAGAAGCGTCGGCGGCGAGGGTTGGCAATTATCATCCTGGTCATCTGAATTTGTTAGCCTCGTTGTCTGGTGCTCCGGGAGGTTCGGGCCGGAGAGACGAGGATCGGCGTTGAATTTGGGTGGACCATTTTACCCTTGTCGTTGTTGGGAGTATATATATTTATATGAATATATATATTCTATAAATATTTGTGTATGGCTGTCGTTTTTATGTGTGTGGATGTGGAAGATGATTTTTAGTTGCAATTTTAGGGTTAGGGAATTAGGGTTTTGAGGGGGCAATTTGGATGATGAATGGATTCAAATTAGGGTTTTTTCCTTAGCACTTTTATCTGATGATTAATTAGGGTTTTAGAGGGTTCACAATTGTTTAGGTTTTTGGAGGGTTTATGTTGGAGGAGGAGAGGGGGTCTAGAATTGGGGCTTTGGCGACCGGCCGCATGCTAAATTTTGGGATTTCCAGAATTGGAGATTTCTTTTATGATTAGTTAAGTTTGCTAATAACTTTTTTCTTTTGGAGAAAACAGAGTGCTCTTGCTCTTTGATTTTGTGCAAAGAGTTGCTGATTTCTTTCTGCTTTGAAGAGACCGTGGAGGTTTATTTCCCACGTTGAAAAAGGATGTAAACGTGGATTTGAAGAATTCATTGCTTTTCTGCATTGTCAAATTCTTCCAGAATTCATCATATAGCAATGATGAACGAGCAAAGTGAGTTGAATCTTAGTTATGGTTTGTGCTTGATTTACACATAATTGGGGTTTGAGTTGACTAACCTAAATCGGTGTCTGGCATGCTGAAAACCGGGATTCGCTCTGAATGATACTATGCTTGGCTTGATGCTGTGGATATATGGTCTCCCAAAATATGCTGGAATTCCCTTTATTGCTAATGGAGTTTGAGAATTATTAGTTTCTTTGCTGCTATTTGGCATAGCTTAGCATTGAAAATTATAGTTCTTAAATGCGTGGACGTGGGTTGATGTGGCCCTCTCTCTTCTGCTTTCATTGTCTATGTTGATCACATGATCTCAAAGGAGACTGCTGTGTGAAAGATAAAGGCTCTGGTTCCTTTCTGTAAGACATCTGTTTTGGAAAATTTTAGCTGTATTCTTAGCCATTTCTTAGATTTATCAGCGTGCAAATAATGTGTTCTTCATTTATGTAAGTGGATTGTTTTGGGTGACTCTTGTGTGAATAAAAAACCCATCCGTTTTTCTCAATTTTGCTTTTCTGTTGCTCATTCTTTCTCCTTTGTGTGCTATTATTACCTTAGGCTTTGTGTAAGAATGCATTTAGTTCTGCTACTAATTATCTCATTTCTGCAATTCAATTTTTGAGTTGCGTTTGATTTATGTATTCTGTCATAACTGGGTCTTGTTTGTTCAATGGTGAATGTAGTCCTTGGAGATCTATAATATGTATAAGTGGTCCTATCTGCTGATTTAATAGTTTGGGTCAGAGGTATAATAATTGCCATGACAGCTCTTTCTCGATCTTTTCTTGCTGGCTGTAACTAACAAAACTTATCACCAGAAGTTTGATCACTGTGTAATCGATACAGAGCATTGGAACTTCATCGACATGATCATTACCAATTTTGGAAACATTAGAAACTACAATTGGTTTCTTTGATTCTGATGATAGAGAGTTTGGACGTTTCGAACTAGCTATGATTCTGGATTTTGTCCTTCAAAATTGATTGGCACTAACTACTCCATAATATTTCTTCTGTGACTTGGATTTTAATGACTTTACTCGTGCTATTTATTGCTGCTCTTTGCATCATAATTGTATTTCTCAGAAATATGGACCTGCATTGCATATGATTGAATAATAATATCGTGATTCCTCTTCTTCTTGGTACTTGGAGGGGCGGTAAGAAGCACATGCAGCAGTCATCTTGTCGACCCTCAACTGGAAAAACTGCAGTTAATACGAAGTTCTGTAGTGCTAGGAAAGAAATTCCTTGTGGTTAATGTCTGGCTAATTGTACCATTTCTCAAGGTGCTGTTTAGGTAGGAATTGAAATACCGTGCATCTATGAACTTTATGGGCATTTCAATTAATCAATAGTAGTACTACTACAGATGAGCGTGTAGTGCTGCACCAAGCATTTTCAAGGAAGGGATTGCAGAGTTTTCGGTTCTTGAAAACTTTGCCATCTCATGATTTTTAATGGATTACTTGTCAAAGGAGCTAGGAAGATGGTGACTGCATTGTGTTTCCTAAGATAGATTGGGAAGGGATTTGCAGTTTCCAGGAAAAGAAGTGGGACATGGTGATGGACATGGCAGTCCAGATGATAGTATAATTATTGTTGAACGAGAAAGGGTTTCTCAAGTCTTGGCAGAATGAGGAAAAAAACAATTAGTGAGAGCAAAAATATGCATCGTTTCAAACTATTTGAACTTTGATCAGATATTACCTAACTATTGCAAAACAAAAGAGTTAGGACCCAATAATTAATGGGGTCCCTTGGATTAAATGCCTTGCTGAAAAAGTTGGGATAGTCTTATAATGTTTGGACCATCCCAACCTTAATTGCAGCTAGATTCTAGACTGGTAAATTTTCTTCCAACTGAAAGTTTAGCCCTCCATTTCTTATCATTCATAGGCTAGGGCCATGGTAGTTGGGACACCTTCACATTTTCGTGGGCTCATTTGGCAATTGAAGTAGAACACATGCCATGCAACAGCCGAGAGCAATGCAAATCATGGGGAGCCTCAAATTCCAAAATTTAGATGGTTTTTATGCTCCCTTTAGGATCATTTTACATAGGAACGTTTATTTAATATTTAGTAGGAGGTGGTTAGTCTTTAGTGTTCCTTCACTTATCCCAACGTATTAATTAATTTATATCGTAAACCCCAAAACTAAGATCAAATTAGCTAACTAAAATGAGTAATTGACGAAAAAATAAAAACTATTGAATAATAATGCTGAATAGCGGATGTCCTTTTTTATTAGAATAAAATACATGCATAATCATCTTTTGGATGAATTTTTATTTTGATTATCCAACTATAAAATATAATATTTTAATAATTAATATTTGCATAATTATTTATATTGATCATCCAATTGGTAATGAAATCTCTATCCAAATACAAAAAATAAGATAATGTGAGTAATTCTGCTTGTAACTCACCTAAAATTGAAAAAAAAAAAAAAAAACCCCTTTTTCAGATTTTGAGATGTTGAAAACTGTTTTTTTAGTTCTTAATTTATCCTTAAATTTTTTATTTTATTTGATTGCAGAAGATATTATGCACTTAAATTTTTTTAAATTTATAATTTTCGAGTATCGACTTTAATAACATGTTAATTGATTTAAAAAATAATCGATTCTAATTGATAAATACTCCAAATAACATGTTAATTGATTCAAGAAATAATCGACTCTAATTAACAAGTGTTAAAAGTGGAATTTAACAACAATTCAATAATATAGGGAGAAAGAATAGATAGAATATGCCCCATGCATGCAGGATAAAGCTAAAGACCTTCGCTTTACGAGACTGACGCTTTACCACTAAGCTATAAGGGCTTTGGTTCTGATCAAACTTTTCGAGTATTTAATAAAAAATAATATCCATTATTATTTGGAGACGAAACAAGGCTCTTAGAGAGAAAAAGAGGAACGGCAGAAAGAAGAAGAAAAAAATGGCGTCGTCAAAAGGAGGACAGCAAGTGGTGAGAGTGTGGGACATGGACATGATGAGCTTGGAGCAGCTCGAAGCACTGAAAGAAAAAGCCGTTTACAGGACAACCTTAACAACATCCGCACCGCCACCGGTCGCCTCGCAATCGCCTCCACCGCTCTCCACGACCTTTCCCTCTGCCCCCAAGGTGCATCCGTCTACTACCGTCCACCTTCTTTTTTGCTTTTTTTTTAATAAAAATTATTATAACTAGCAAAATACCCTCCCATTAACTCGAGTTAAATTTTTTTTTTTAATTTTATCATATCTATTTAATTATTTTTATTATAAAATTTATCTAATTTAAAAACAAAAAATAAAAAACAAATGAAATGTAGTTATTTTGATTTATTTTTTTATAGAAGTTATCTAATTTTAAAAAAAAAAGTAAAAAGATAAAAAACAAAACAAGATGAAAACAAAAAATTTTAAAAAAATATTCATAGGGGATACTACTCGGACGCTTCCATTAAACTCAAAACATTAATTTTTTAAATTAAGATATCAAATAATTAGTTTATTAATATAATATATAAAACAAAATTAATAATAAAATATATACTTTTATATATACTTTAACAATAAATAGATCAAAATTTCCTAAACATGCTTTTATCTCGGTCTTCTTCTTTCTTTTTAAAAAAAGAGACTTGTTTTAATTTAATCTCGATCTAAAATTTTTTTTTTTTTATTTAATCAGGATGGATCAAATCTGTCGATTATAAATTATTTTCACATTTTTATCGATTGATATCATTTGTTATAAAATTTACTTAATTAAAAATTTTAAAAAGTAAAAGAAAAGAGCTAAACGAAGTTGAGATGTAAACGCTTCAATGTATCATGTTTTAATTAAATTAATTTAACAAAAAATAAAAAATAAAAAGTTGAATTTATTAAGTTAAGGTATTAAATAATGATCTTTTTAATATAATAAATATATAAAAATAAAATAAAATAAAATGATAAAAATAAAGTTATATTAAAGATTTTAAAAAAGAATTAAAAAACAAAATTCAAATCCTAATGTGATAACAAACTTATGTAATTTCTTTTTTATAAAAATTATCAAATAAAAAATAATATATATTAAATTAATAATATTAAACGAATCCTACTTCCTTAGAAATTTTAAAATATTTAAAAATTTTATTAAATATTAAAATTTTAAAAAATTAAAAATGAAAAAAGAAGCAAATGATTGAATACGCAATATACTCTTAGTATCAAGGGAGTCACACAAAAAATTAAATTAATTAAAATATTTATTAAATATAAAAATAAAAAAAAAATAGATAAGAGAAAAGCGAACAAAACAAAAAAAATACACGGTATACTCCTTGGTATAAGTGGATGACAAAACAAAACATAAAAATCTAAAAAAGCAAAAAATAAAATAAAATCTGAATGTGACGGTAACATATATTGTCAATATTTTGTTAAATAATAAAATAAACAACAACCAAAAAGTACATTTTAATAAAAATATAGAATGAGCCTTAAATTTATAATAGAGATTTTAATTTTTATTAAATAAATAAAGAAAAAAAGTAAATAAAAAATTAAATAATTTGACATGTGACGTAACTTTGAGATCAAGTAAATCATAAAAATTAAATCCAAAATTTTGTTTATTGAATATATAAAAAATAAAAAAGAAAAAGATTTTTAAAATTTGCAGTATATTTTTTATTAAAAAAGGTAAAAAAAATTTATTGAATCTTCTAAAAAAAAGAAAAAATAGATAAACTTTGATGTCAAGTTAGTTCTTTCAAAAAAATAAAAGATTTTTAAGAAACATTTAAAAAATAAAAAAATTTACACCTGATACCAAGGAAAAAAACTTAAGAAAAAAGATTTTAACGAGAAAAAAAAAGGTTGCATTGAAAAAAGAAATAATATAAAATACATAAAAATTAAATTAAAAATAATAAAATCATCAAAATGTGTCCCACGAAAAATTGATTCTTATATTTAAAAACAAAAAAGTGAGCGACAAGGGAAAATTTTTTTTGAATATTTATATATTTAAATATTTATATTTAAAAAATAATATTTTATTAATTTCAAATAGAATCAAATTAAATATATTTATACAATATTAAATTAAATTTGAATTTAAATATTAAAAAAAAATTCGAATTAAATCAAATTCAAATTTAACCAATATAAAATCAAATAACGAGCAAATATCCGTATCAATTCGCCTGACTCCTCACTCACAAAAAATAGATAAAAAAAAATGGGCCCCATACCTTTAAAACTAAAAAAAAAAAGGTTATGGGCCTCACGAATTAAAAAAATTAAAAAAAAAAGAAAATTAAAAAACGGATGAAAAAAACATAACCAAGGTGTGAGTCGCACTTTAAAAAAATAACAAAAAAATTAACCTCATATTCTTAAAAATAAAAATAAAAAAAGGTGGGCTTCACAAACTAAGAAACAAAAAAAAAATGGAAGAAAAAATTTTAAATAAAAAAGTGAATCCCATACCAAAAAGTGGAAAATTTTAACCAAAAAAAAAACAAAATTATAGCTCCCACGAAAGCAAAAAGTCAAGAAGCTACTATGACTGGCACGTGATAGCCATTACTGCAAATTTGCAACATTTATATACGGGATACACATTTTTGGTTTCTCTCATACAATAGGGAAGAAAATGTTGGTTCCTCTCTATTTTCTTGTCCTTTAATAAAAACATTGTTCTTAGGCTAGAAGGCAAGGTGGCATTGATCACAGGAGTTGCTTTAGTATTGATTCTTGCAGGAAAAGGCAGCACAATTCCAGTGGGTAGCGTTTGTTCTATTGTTGGTGAAGTTGCTTCTCATGCATACGCTAGTTAAAAGCATGCCATTGTAGGACTAGGACTCACCAAAAACGCGGCAGCAGAGCTTGGGAAGTTTGGGATTCAAGTCGACCGCTTATCACCTTACTTTTCTCCCAATTCCCACGGCCGAAGCTTTTTACTTCAACTATAGTTCAGTTTTTATTTTATTTTATTGTTTACTTTTGCAGTTTTTCTTTTTTCTGCTGCCAAAGTTTTCTTGGAATACGGCATGCTGAAAGTACACAATAGGATCATTCTTTTTGCCTTTTCTCGATAAGAAAGGCAACTACTACATTGTATCCAGTGACAGACCAAAGATTTTAAGTTGGGGATCAAATTAAATAACAATTATAATTTAAAATTTTTCATTTGATATATAATAAATTATTATTTTATCAAAAGTTATAAAATTTTTAAGTAAAATATGACATTTTATAATGTAATTATAAATAAGACACATAAAAAATAATTATTTAAAGTAAAAAAACTCAAATAATTTTATTTAAAATTATGCATGACAATTTTTCATAAGAAAAATCATTAGACTGACTTGGTGCTGGATTCAAATTAAGAAATAAGACTTAATGCTGGATTTAAGCTTAGGAAATAAAATTTATCCCTTTATGTTCTATTAATCTCTTTTTTTTTATAATTTTTTTATTAAACTTTTTAGAATAGTTTTGATTTTTTTTAATGTGAATCATATTTAACAAATACATTTATTTTTTAATTTTTTAACAAGAACTAAACTATAAATATTAATATTTTGCAAATTAATTGAAATTTAAGAACTGAATTTTTTTTTTGTGTTAACTGTTTTTTTTTAATTACAAGCATAAATTACAATTATAAATAGATATTACCCAATTGAATAATCAAACAAATAAACTAATCAATAAATTAAAACATAATTAAACAAATCCAACATAAAATTAAAATAAATCTATGTATAATGAAATTTGAACTTAAAATCTTAATATTCTAAACATTTACAACCACAAAGAAAATCTTTTTTTTTTTTTTAAGGGGAGCTATTTTTAATTTTTAAATAGAGCATTTATAAATTATATATATTATTATGTGGCTCCGCCACTGATTGTATCAAAAATGTTTTCCCACATTATACATGTAAATCCTCTCAAACTGATGAAGAAAGGAAGGGTAAACTTTATGCAAAATCACAAGAAAAAAATAGAGCCGAGCAAGAGTGACCATGTTGGGATAAGCATAGGCCACGATTAAAATACAGCTAGTTTGTGATGAATTTCTTGTTGTTAAGGCAGGTACTGCCTGCAATCAGCACCAACAGCTTCATGGATAGATTTGAAACCATCCCTTTCTAAGCACTCAGCAAGTTCAGCCTGCAAAAGTAGCGCAATCACAATAAACCAAGCAAAATATTTAACAAAAGCATTGGCCCTAGACCTTCCCAAGCCTTAATAACCCCAATCCAACAACGGCACCCCTAGAATCAGATACATCAAAAGAAGGTAACAAAGTTGAATGCAAAATCAAACACACAAGGAATGACCATAACTTCTCTCTTAAAATTACAATGATGAGACCTGAACTAGGATTAAGACATAAGAATTTGCAGGATTATGATTATATCAGATGACCCAAATAGTTACAGATCCAAATAACCGGTTAAGCAAGACAGATATCACGGAAGACAGCACATTTTCTGTCACCATGGACAAGGATGTTAAGCAGAAAGAAAATAAATAAACATAAAGTTCAGAAATTTAAAGGAGAATACCTTTATTTGAGGAATTAAGGCAGGGCCTCCATATGCAAATGCTGTATAAAGCTGAACGAGAGTTGCTCCAGCCCTTATTTTTTTGTATGCATCCTCACCACTGAGTTTAATGCATAATTCAAATTAATAAGATGTACATAAAGATAATAATAGCAGCAATGATGATGGTGATGATGGTGACAGTGACAATTACGTTGTTTAGATGATAAAATGAATGGTAACGATTAATAAGTACCCTGACTTTACCTGCAAATACCACCACAGCCTATTAAAGGGATCTGTCCCTGGCAAAGAAGAATGCACGTTCACTTTATAAGTAAGATACATCCATACTATAAGAACTTTACAAGTAAAACAATCAATAGCATTAAAACAGAAATCATGACCAGGTGGTAAGTATCTGAATGCTTTACAAAATTGACTTGAAAAATATAAAGTTGCATAGAGAAGACCTCAGAAACAGCAAGAAACCATTAAAAAACAATAATAAGGCCAGCTGCACACCTAGCTGTTGAAATCATCAAACTGTATACACTTGTGAACATACCAGCTCAATCATCCTAACATTCAAATTCAGAGCATACCCCAGCAGGACAAACCACATAACCACAAATTATAATGCCCTCAAGAGTAAAAGCTTAAAGCATCTTGGAATGTCCAATAAGATAATGAAATAGGAAAATATATACAGTTCCTATACAACAACACCCTGAGGTTTTATAAAATTAAATTTTCGCCACTGTACTTTAAAGAGGCAATATTTTGTAACTTGAAGTAGCCAGTTTGTTTACCAATACCTTTTTGGCTTTTTTTCACGTTTTATATGTGAGGCTGGGATAAAGCAGAGGAGTGTGGTTGCAGGGTTTTTGGAAAAGAAAGGTAGAAGACAGCCACTTCAATACACTAAGGGAAAATATGTATAGAAATAGAAGGTATGACCAATTCAAAGCACTAAAAAAAATTTAAGAATCAATTATTGCATTTCTATTCCCAGAAACGCAGTATTCGATTACTCATTTTAAAAAAATTATAATGAAAAATTATTACGTTTAGATTCAAAGAAATGCATTAATTAAGATTTAATTAAAAAAATGACAATAAACAATTACTGCATTTAGCTTCAAAGAAATACAGTAATTAATATTAAAGCTATAAAAAAATGACAATTAACAATTACTGTGTTTAGTTTCAAAGAAACGCAATAATTGGGCTTTATCAAACACCTATACTTTATGCCTTGTTTGGTTTTTTTACCAAAAATTAATAAAAGTCAAATTGTTATTACATAATTATTATTTATTACTAATTAAAATTAAGAAGAAAATGTATAAAAAAAAAGCTTTCAAAAGTAACAATTAAAACAGGCAAAGGAGAGATTGTAGATTAATTGCCTTTTCGCTCCAAACATTGCTAAAAAAAATTAATAATCAATTTAAAAAATTCCAAAAAAAAAATATCACAATTACTGCATTTGTTTTCACCAACGCAATATTTGACGTTTGAAAAAAAAAAAAAACCTTACCATACATTGATTTTCAAAAGGTTAAAATAAAAAGAAAATATTTTTTATTCAGATCAAATGTGAGACAAAAGTAATTTTCCTCCCGAAATCTTAAAAAACCGTAAGAGATGTGGGTTTCTGATTCCAGAACTTTAGGTACTGTTGGGAATCTAAGATTACCCCTAAGAATCAGAAACCCTTGAACCAAACGTGGGAATTTGAATACCCAACAGCAACATTCCGCTGGAAAATCTCAGATTACTCCCAAACAAACGCCCCCAAAATGGAAAACATGTTTAGACATAGAAGATATGACCATGAAAGCCAGCAGCCTCAACAATTTATCATAATGTTTTGTAAGAATAGACAACATACCCTTGTCAGGACATACATCTCCTTTAAGATGTTGGTTGACAAATTAAAGAGATGCTTCCCACTAAAGCCACCAGATTCTGCACAGACTGGATTTTTATTTACAGGGTCTGGTCTTGAAATGGTTGTGTTTGATATAATCTAGAAAATAGAGAAAGGAGAGCATCAGGGAGAAACAATGAAGAGCAAGAGAAACAAAAATTAGTGTGCAATTTAACATACTATGTACTCTGTATCTTATAACAGAAAGAATGAAGTAAACAAAAAACTATAAGATCACAGCTTCTTAAACCAACTGTTACTAACAAGGAAACTGATATGAATTTCATCATGATGTTCTTTCAATGTATTTAGGAAAAAAAAAATTGGGAATATTACTTTAAGAAAATACAACTTTCTTTACAGATAAATCTAAGGGCTAGAATACTACTTCTTTCGTTTGTACAAAATGTGAGTAAAAGAACAAAATTGTCATAAGGATACAAATTATAAAAGAATGAGCAAGAAAAATGACTAAAATGCACCATCAAGCAAGAAACTTCTAATCATATAAGACATGAACAAGAAATATACGAATTTTCCAATGGGAAGAAAAATACCAATCCATCCAATTGGAGGGCAACAGCAACCTAAAATCAAAGAAAAGCAACAATAAGAACATAATACAGATAAGCAATGAAGTAGTATCTAAATGCAAGTAGAGCATACTGCTGCTATATCCTCAAGGTCTTCTTTAGACAAGTCTGGAGCAATTTTAACAAGCAGTGGAGGAGGGCCCACCTCATCCCACTGCATTTCATCACGAGCAGCTTGAACCTTTGACAAAACAGCAAAGTTGAGAAGAGTGAAGTTCAGCTCTTTCATATCACAAGAAGGAAGATTAATTTCACAGCTAGAGATCTATACCTTTGTAACAAGATCCTTCAACTGTTTCCTTCCCTGAAGCATACGCAATCCAGGAGTGTTTGGTGATGAAACATTAATAACCTAAGAAAGTCGTGCAAAAGGAGATCAGTATTATGGCATCCATCATCAAATTCACGAAAAACACAAAGAAAACTTCCTGAATTAATATCATTTAAATTAATATGGCGGGGAGTATATTGATACCCCCCTAAGGTTATACTTATTAATAATCATGTTTCTATTTTGAAAAAAAAAAAGGAATGCATCTATCTCCCTCCCAAGAGGTAAGCATAAGAAATTATAAGTAAGCAAACCATGCTAAGCAACCATTTTAAATACTACAAAAAACAATTATATCATTTATTTTGTGTGAAAATTTTGTACTAACGAAAACATGGAAAGGAATGAATTAACTCAAATAATGAATATACTACCAAGTAATCAGCATACTGGGATAACATATGAACTCCTTGTACATAGTCGACAGCGGCATCCTCACTTGTCTTATTCTTTCCAAGATTGACTCCAAGAATTCCAGGACCAGCTTTGCCTCCATGTTTGTTTTCATCACTCAAGGGTGATGAAGAGCTTGAAGTCTCTAACTTCTCTAACTTCCTTTTACCATGCTGGGTAGACAATCGATTTGCAACAGCATCAATTCCTTCACTATTGAATCCACATCGATTTATGATAGCACTGACCAATAAATCCAGTTAGATAAAACAGAAAAGCTTGAACTCCAAGTAACATGAGTTCGAGCAATCAAATCTCTTGGCAAAACCACAAGAAAGCATCACCTTACTCATGCCCATGCCACAAAATGGGTAAGATCATAATTTAAAGAAACAGTAGAAAGGGAGAATTAGGCCTCACCCTTCTTGTCGCAATCTAAAGATGCGTGGCTTTGGATTACCCTCTTGTGCGATAGGGGTTACTGATCCAACTTCCACAAAGCCAAAACCCATACCAAGTAAGCCTTCAACAGCTTCTGCATTTTTATCGAAGCCAGCAGAAAGACCTATAGGATTTGAAAACTTCCTCCCCCAAACTTCTAATCCCAAAATTGGTGGATCAGGCCTCTTCTCCCTGGGAACCCAGCCACGTGCAGCAGCTGAAACAGCTAGTCTATGAGCAACCTCAGCATCCAAAAGTGCAAAGAATGGGTTTACAAGTTTTGTCGCTGAGAATAGCCAACCACTGCCAAAATTCCATATTGTATAAGTTGATGGCTAATCAATACAACATGAGGATTCATTTCAAGCTCCGGTATTTCCATGAATGGATCCATAAAAACTTTTATATAAATTTAAAATCAAAACATAGATAAAGGCCTATTGGCAATTAAGGTTTCAATGTCGGGTTGTTTTAATTTGCGTTCTTCAATGATAGCTATAATGCCAAGTTGCTGTGATACAAAAGTAAATGGAGAGGCAAAAATACAGAAAGCAAACAAAATCTATACCGACCACGTCGCTGTGACACGAAAGACAAAATGCAGGTATTCTTTACAGCTGTTTTAGTCATATAATAACATGTAAAGGCATGGTTTCAAGGGAAGATACTTGTTCATTTTCCAAAATAATTTCAGATTAAAGTTAATGGAACCATTAGCACAATTTTCTAAATCAAACAAAAAAAAATCAACAGGAATTGCAGATATTCCTTTCAATCCAGAAAAGAAAAAAAAAAGGGGGGGGGGGGGGGGAAACCCTCCTCATTTGCAAAACAAAACAACACATGAAAAAAAATTTTAAGTTACAAAGGAAGATATCACTGGCAGGTCCAAAATAAATACCAGAAAGTTTCTTCATCAACTGTACCAACATAAGCTCCTCCTGCTATAATTAAGCCTATGGTGGCTCCGGTCAATAACCTCCCCTAGAATTGAAAAATAACCAAAGACCATGGAATCAGAAAGCGATGTCTTAGAACAGAAAATTCAGCACACAACCAAATGAATATTAATGAAAGTTAACACCTCATACTGGAATCGTTTTTTAAATTGAATTCAACGTTTTAAACCATCCCATGAACCAGAAAATCCAGTTTATTATTAAGAAGTATATTTCCAATGCAAGATACAAACAATTTAAGATGTTCTCAAACGCTTTTCTCTTAAGTTGGTCAAGCAAAAAAACCCATTTTTAATCCTACCAATCGCAACTTTCAAAATACCCATCTCACTATTAAGACATTTACGCTTAGGTTAGCTAAACTTTATACCTAAAGATTTGAATGGATAACGAAAAGATATAAATGGAAAAGCAAAAAAACAAAAATAAAAAATCCATTTGGCGCATAAAAACTTCAAGCATCTCTCCTTTACTATAGAAAAGATATACATAAAACTTTTCATAAAATGAGGTAGGGAAAAGAAAACTTACCTTTTTGGAAGAATGAGGGATTTTAGGAGCAGAAGTAGCAGCAGAAGAGCTATGTCTGGAAGCTCCAATGGAAGTTGAAATAACCCTTTGGCGAATTAAATCTCTAAACAATTTCCCAGCAACCCGTGTCGCCATCAATTCAAAATTGCAGGGACAAAGAGAGTCTGTAAGAAGGGAAAAAGAAAGAAACCTTTTTTAAAAAAAAAAAAAATTTGTGGCTTTTGTATTGAAAAGTTGAAAAGAGAGGTTAAGAGAGGTTTTAGCAGAGAAGAAACAGAGGAGGCTGTGAGGTTTTTGGGGTCTTTATCTAATTCCAGCCCTTATTACTCGCGCCCTTCATCTAGGGTATTGGAATATGCTCTCTTGCTAATGCTAATGCTAATTGCCATATTTGCTTTGATAAAAACGATAAAAAATTTGAACTTTTCAGGTTCTTTATTAGAGTAGTATAATTTATTTAGAAGGAAAGATTCCCAACAATTGCAACTTTTCCACCGGAATACAACTCAACTTCAACTAGTTTCTTTTTAAAACTAATAGAATGCCGCGCGTTGACGCCAGAGAATTTAATGGCAAATATATAACATTAGTATAATTATTTTTAAATACTGTATTAACTTCATATTATAATTATGAACCTTAAATTCACAAAATTTAATAATTTTTGAACTTACAAAATATTAGTCTAAGCAAACAAATACGCAATTTCAATATCAAAAAGTTATTACAATTTCCTCCTATTTTTTCTTCAGACTGGTGGACAATAATTTAGATTAAAGACCTTCATAGTCAAACCTAACAAAAACAATGGCAAGAAACACATAGTTGGCAAATCCTAGAAATTGAAAAGCAATGACAGCACAGGCATATATTCAGAGTCCCAGAAGCGGAGCTTGCTTAAAAAGTTATCAGCAATGGCTTTCGGTACCAAATGTAAGAATTATCTTGTCCCACTTATGAAGAGCTATTCTTCCCTTTTCGGGTCAGACAAGTCCACTTGCTCGAATGAATGCCATGGTATTTGTTATCATTTTATTTTCTGAGAATAACTATTTATGAAACAGATTTTCCTTTTGCTCCAGCCCCTAGTCTGTACTATACATCTCCGCTTCCTGCCTATGAATCTCCGTTAAAGGGAAGGCTCAAAACCACAACCCCACCAAGGTGCACTTTAGGTCTTAATACAATATTAGCAAAATTTTAAAGTCTAATTTATCTCATTTAATTCATATATTCATTCTTAAAAAATGATACCCAAAGATTTTAGATTTAAATCTCTAACACTTTCAATTTTTTTTTTTTATTTATATATAGATTCTTAAAAAGTAACATCTAATATATTTAAAATTTATATTTCTAACACTTTTTAACTCTGTTTTTATTTATATAATTATTTTTAAAACGTAATATTTGATTAGTTTGGGATTTAAATATTTAATATTTCCAACTTTTTTTTATTTCTAAGCTTTAACATTTTTTTTTACCAAAAAATTTATAAAAAAACAGTAGGCCAAGCTGATATCATCATATTTTCGTGTCAAACCAAGCTGTTTGAGTAGGCCTATCTAAGTGTAGACACCATTTTTTTAAGTCGGGTTAGATTTTGATTCGATGAATCATCTCAAATAACCCGTTTCTTATTGTGGTATTCTAGATAAAGATAATGAAAAATAAAAAGTAAAAAATAAATAGAGACAGAAGACTAATTCTAATAAAATTCTAAGATATGAAGGTTTAAATTTTGAAACTGTGGTAAAAAGAAATTTTTTTTTTAAACCAGGATAAACAGATCAATAGGATAGGGGGATTTTAATTTTTAAATCCTCGATTAATCTTATGCTTAATCCCTATATAAACCCCACTGATGACATAAGTGGGGAAGAATAGACAGCAAGAACAGAAAGAGCATAAGGACAACAAAAAATTCTAAAAAAAGTTTCTGGTAAAAATAATAACTTGTACTTTTTTTTTAAATTGTGAAAGTGGGATTTGGCGTTGCTAGAGGGATTCTGGAAGGCAAAATGTTGATTTGGGAATTTTTGTGATATATTTTTATTGGGAATTTTTTAGAAATTTGAAAATCTGGATGAATTTTTTGGTGAAAATTCAAACTTTTCAGGTGTTTTCCGACAATAAACCCGGCTTCCGGCATCATTACCAAACTCTGGTGGTTTTTTCCAAAAATCGGTAGCTTTTCGACAAAATTAGACAGTTTTCGACGTTGCAATTTCAAAAACCGACGGAAAAGGAAACAAAGGAAAAGCAAAGGAGAGAGAGAGAGAGAGAGTAAGAGAAGCCTGAGGAAAAAGCTGAAATTTGTAATTTTTATATTGCATAAGAATGACATCGTTTTAGGTTGAAAACAAGCTAGGACCCATGAGTTTTCCGTTTCACAAGCCCAACTAGTTTCGCTTGACCAGGCGACCCACACTACTGCTGAGCTGACTAAGGCACTAAGCCGAATTCGAGCCGCATCTCTCCAATTGGTTTATTCTTTCTTTAGCTAAGCCACTTTCCATTAGCCAAGTTAGGCCAAAGTTTTTATTCATTTATTTATTTATTTGTTAAATTGATGTTATTTATTTATTTATTTTGCGAATAAATATTCTTTTAATTTTTAATGATTTTTTTAATATCATTAATAAAAATTCTAAAAAAGAGATTTTTTTTTAGGAAAGGTTAAAATATCAATTTTTTTAAAATAAAATTTTTAAAAATTTTTTGAAGAAAAGTTAAAAATGAAATTTTCAAAAAAAATTTTTTGAGGAAAAATTGAAGTATTAATTTTTCTTAAAAATAAAAATTTTAAAAAATATTTTTTTAGAAAAATTGTAAGTATCAATTTTTTTTGAAGATAAAAAATTTAAAAAATATTTTTTTGAAGAAAAAGTTGAAGTATTAATTTTTCTTAAAATTGAAATTTTTAAAAAATATTTTTTGAGAAAAAGTTAAAAATATTAATTTTCTTTAAAAATAAAAATTTTCAAAAAATATATTTAAAAAGAAACATTTTAAGGAAAATTTGAAATATTAATTTTTCTTAAATAAAAATCTTCTTAATTTCAAAAGAAAAAATTTTTTGAGAAAAAAATTTAAAGTATCAAGTTTTCCTTAAATAAAAGCATTAATTAAAAAAATTAGAAAATAATTATTTTAAATGTTAAATAATCCAAAGATAAAGTATCTGGAAGAGAAATAATAATTTTTTTGTACATTTTTAATATGACAAAATTTTTAAATTTTTTATCAAAAGTAATGAAATCAATTAATAAAAATTTTTAATAATTAACTATCTGATAAATTTTTAAAAAACTTAATGGATAACACAAAATTAAATCATTAAAAAAATATTATAATTTTTTTCACAAGTAATCGTACTCTCAAACTTAATTATAATTTTATAAATATTAAAATTATCTTTTAAATATATTTGAATCAAATTTAAATTTTTTTTAAATAAAATAAATTCATTAAATAATTAATCATATTTAAATAAAAAAATTAATAACAATTTTTCAATTATATCAAATAATAAATTTATTAATTTATCACATTAAATTTTTCAATATCATGCATCACATGAAATATTCTGATTTCCCACGGTCTGAAATGACCTGTCAATTTCGCCCAGGTAATCTGTCATTGATCCCCAACCTTGTCATCCACCAACTTTTATTGGTAGCAGTATGCCACATCTTAGTAACAAGAAACAGGTGATTTGTTTATTAAAAAAATAAGCCGATGAAAGTGAAAGCTCAACTGCTTTGATATTATCCAAACGCCAAAAAAGCAAATATGAAATCAAGCCATATTGATTCTGTTTCCAGAACATGACAGTGTTGCCCTTCTATCCATGATGTGCATTTCCCATTTTGTCTGCAGGTAATTCATTGCAGACTGCTGTCACCTGTCACAATGGAGGTAAATTGAATCAATTAGAGCTCAGCTGCCCCAACACCTTTTTTTTTTTGTTTGACCTTTGATATCCTATAATTATTTTAAGCTCCAATTAATCCGAATTTATATAAAAAAAAAAGCTCTTTTAAATTTATTTTTTTATTTACACGATTCAAAATTAAAATTTTACTTAAAAAAACTGAAATTTTTATTACATGAACTAACAGATCTTGCTACCCCCAACACTTTAGCCACTTTGGGCCCCAACACTTTCAATCGATGGAAAACCCTTTTATATCATTTTTAAGGACCCAAGCCAATAAAAGGGGCAATGATAATTAGGTCTGACCCATTGCTAGAAACCTTTAATCTAAACCAACTTTATAACGTCAGAAACCAGTGGGGACCTTGAAATACTTCTGCATGTAATTTTTTTTTCTTTATTTCGAAGCTTTTATTAAAAAAATGTGAAGTAGCCAGATAGATAGATAACCATATCTCCATATTCCATATGGTTTCTTCTAGGTGCCATCTTTTAAATTAAAGCATCCAAGTGACCAGCATAAAGATCGCTCAAAGTTTCAATGGAAGGCAGTTTCGCAGTTCTCTTTTTCATATACCAAATGGGCACTTGGCTCTATGAGTCAAGACCCTTAATAATTGAGGTAGTTTGCCTACCACCGTCTCTCTATCTTTTGATATTCACTTTTTCTGCAATGGAAACTACGAACACATGGGGCAACACCCATGATCTTTCACCCCATTCTTCCTTAAATTTTCTTAGCCCTGCAAAAGCTTGAGAATATCAGTTTGCTTGAACTGCAATAATTTATTGCCTTAATAAAATTAAATAAAAATGTAATTTTTATTAATTAAATAATATATCAAACCAGCGAAACCGAGCTCCAAAACTCATGCCTCACGACTTAATATTAGTGTGGTAAATATATAATCTTTTAACTAGGATAAACAATTCAATTTGTGCCTAGTGGATTTCGATCCAATTCGATTTTATAGGATTAATTTTTTTTTTAATTAAATTTCAAATCAGATCGAATAAGACTAAAAAAAAATAATTTGAAATCAGGTCGAGTGTACCTAAAATCTGACTCGATCCGATATCATAAAAAAATTATTTTTAATTAATTATTTATATATTTATTTATATAATTATATATTTAAAAATAATATTTTATTAATTTATGTTGGGTCGGATCGAGTATGATTTATATAATATTAGGTTGGGTTGAGTCAGGTTTGAGTATGAAAAAAAAAAATTTAGAGTCAAATTCAAATTTGATTAATATAAAATCAAATCAAATTCGAAGTGAACAAAAATTTATCTCGAACCCGTTATCAACTCTACTTTTAACAAGATTAAAAAAAAAAAACCAAAATTTTAAATTTATTTTTACAACTAAATTTTTTTTTATTTCAATATATGTTGTCTTAGGAAATTCCCTTATTCTTGTTATTGAAGATGTCGAGTGTTTATAATTTGATATATTGATGACACAATCAATAGAATAAACAAATTAAATAAATAAAGAGCACTATGAAATTGGGGCCTGTGATTAATAAGTTCAACTAAAATCACCTTAACTCTTTTTCTTGGATCAGATGGGAAGTACAGTAGGAATTAAATCAAGCAATATTTTAAAAAAATTAATTTGCTTGAAAATTGTATTATTTTAATTTTTATTTATTTCTAACATAATTTAATCAAGTAATATTTTTAGTTGAGTGGTGTAATGCAATGACCTGTGAATTAATTATTAATGTGCATATTCTTCCCATCCCAACTTCTTGTGGACTCCATCAAGTGGATGGGAACAATACAACTTTTTTTTTTTTTTTTATGATTTTTATTATGTTAGGTCCCAAATGATTATGAATTGAAGTTTACTTCTTGCGACATTGTTGCTAATCATGTAGCTTTCACTGCCTATCTATTTCTTGGGAGAGTGGACTTTGATTTGGCTCATTCACTATTAAAACAACAAATCTACTATTGCCAAATACTTCAAGTAATTAATTTATATAATTATTTTTAAAATTTACTATTTAATAGAAACGAAATTTAAATTTTAATATTTATAATATTTTATTAAATTCTCATATTATAAGGACATATTCATAACTTAAATTTAGAAATCTATGGATGCTCTCAAAACTTGAAAAACAAGAAGAGTTGAATAAAGTTTTCTTTGAACGCACTTAATTATTTTTTAAATATCATTTTTATTTATAAAGTTAATAAATTCATCGAAATAAAATTTTTAATTTTTAATTAAATGATTGTTTAATTACGTACATTAAAAAATTATATATAATAATATTAATAATAATACAATTACATTTTTTTAAATATAAAAATTCATCATGTACAATTATAATAATATAATACTATATTTTTTAAATTTGTATATATTATAAAATAAACATCCTTGAAAAAAATTTAGATTTGTTACTGTTAAGTTACGTCTTTTTTATAAAAAAAAAAATACTTGAAAAAAATTAAAATTAGCATTAAAACTTTAAAAATAATATGAATGTATGTATCTGCCTATATTTAGATTTATTTTTTTAGTTTTTGCCTACTCTTATTTTGCTGGATGCACTAGCTAGCTGTTAAATACCTTATCTAAAATGACGGTAAAGCCATAGTGAATGTGATCTCTACTTTTCGATCTTCTTTTCTTTTTGTGCTTCTCTCAAGTCTCGTCTCAAATTAAATATACTATTAAAAAGGGTGAACTTGATCCTTACAATATATCTTAAAATTTGCTGGTTTTAGTTTCTTTATTGTTATTTTATAATAAAGTAAATTGTTATCTATGTAATATATGAAATAATTTTATTTATTTAATATAAATATATACATAAAAATTAGTTTTTTTTAATTATATTTAAATCTTCAATATTTGTAACATATATAAAATCATATATACTGACTTATCATAAAAATTAATTTTTTTTAAAAGCAAGAAAAAATAACATGTCTTGCTCTAGGACCATTTTTATCTACAATAATATTTATATATCTACAAGATTATATCAAATAAAAATAAAATATATTTTTATTAAAAAAATATATATTATTGAATATTAAATTAAATAATTTAATAAGTATTAGCATACTTTCACTTTTGTATTGTTGAACAAATTATTATATAAAATATGAAAAATGTTAAGAAATATGTGAAAAAAAAAATTATATTGAAAAAATATATTATTTTTCATATGAATGAAATTGTAATAGTAATAAAATACATCTTGAAAAAAAATTTGTAAACAAAAAAAATTGCAATAATAATATAATACAGTTTAGAAAAAAGTTGTAAACTGAAAAAATAAAAAATTGATATGACGTATTCATTTTAAAATTTTTAAAGTTGAGATGGATATAATTATTTTATTGGTCTTATTATTTAAAAATTTAATATGAAAAATTGTTTGATTTTTTAATATCTTACATAAATTTTTGAAAATATAATTTTTTATGGATTCAAATCAAAACAAAAAGGGTTGATAAAATATTTTGGTAAACCTAATATTTGTAAATTTTAAACATGTTAAATGATTTTGATAATGAAATAATTTATTAAATAAGGTTATTGGATAAATAATTAAAATTATTTACCATGAAGATCAAATTCATATTTTAGATTTTTAATTAAAAAAAATCTATAGATTGATTTAATTTTCAATTACAACTTGAATAATTTTGATATTTAAATAAATTTAAAATTATTTAATTTATAATAAATAGGAGCTATCCTATATTTTTTTTAATTATCACACGTGTCATTCAAAAAGTTGTTTATATAAACATTAACGTGACAAAATTTATCAAGTGAATATGTATATTGTAATGTAGCATATATATAATTTAATCTTTGCATTTTTTAAAAATTTGTTTCATTGATTATTGAAAAAAATAAAAATTATTTAAGGGCAATATTTGATAATATTGTTAAAGCTTACAATTAAATTCGATCAGATTCGTTTTATGTTGTGACATGTCCTATGAATTAATTATTACTTAATTAAAATTTTTTTTTTTTGGACTTATTATATGTGCTACTTAACAAAAAGTAAATTCACCGTTCGGGCCATGACATAATGAAGGTAAAATTCTAATATCGTTATAAAAAATCTCTAAAGTAATTTAATAAAAATATAAAAATTAAATTTATTAAAATTTATTAAAATAATTTTAATTATTGACAAAATTTGAATTCAAAATTTTTTTATTAAAAAAAATGAATATAGTCAATTAAATAAATAATTTATTAATTATAATTATTAAAAATTGATGCAAGAAAAAGCCGTTTTGAGAATTTCATGTCTGTAATTTATCAAAATCTAAAGAATAATGCAGGTATTTTCGGTTCCACGTGCACCAATTGTAAGTACCATACGAGAAAATAGAAAAAAATGGAGGGATGTGATTGGCTGATCCAAGGTGAGTCAGGGTGGGTCCCAAACAGCTGATTCCAATCTTTAGACTAGACGAAGCGGACAGTATCAGTGCATTACGTCTTACGCGGTGAATATTTGCCGGCTTTCTGGACAAAAGTTCTTAGCGTGCCGTAATCACCTACTCTAACTTACAGTACGCACCATCTCTACCCGTCCGTTTTTAATCCAACGGTTGCATTTGAAACACTGTTAATTCCTTTGACTCCCACCGTGGTCCCTGTGCAGATTTCTCAGTTCCAATCAAATTGTCACGAATGTCTCTATTGACTAAATTGCCCTTGCACTTAATTCTTAATTTTTTCATTAAAAATTTAGTACTTCGAAGCCATTTATAAAGTTTTATGAAGGCAGTTATATACAATAATGAACTTCAAATTAGGTATTAATCAATTAAATATGAATAAATTTTTATTATATTTGTAATTTATTTATTTAATTAACAAATTTAAAATATTATTTATAATTATCTATTAAATTTAATAAATAAATATAAATAGTATATACTTACAAATTATATATAAATATTTTATTCATTTGTATCATCATGTGTAAATTAATTAAATAGTAATTAATTTTATTATATTTATAATATATTTATTTAATTAACAAATTTTAAAATATTATTTATGATTATTTGTTAAATTTAATAAATTAATATAAATAAATAAAAATTGAATGTGTTGACTAATTATCATCCAACATTATACATCTACTTCCAATCGATTTTGATTTTCCAAAAGCTAGACCAGGCTTTTTTTTTTTACTAAAGTATTTTTAAACATAAAGATTAAGCTTAATGTTCAAGATTCCAAGACTTTAGTAAAAAATTTGGAAACACCCGCCGCCAATGTTTCAAAAAAAAAAATGGCAATATCGTCTTTTTATCAGAAATTCGTAAAACGTTAAAAATCTTCTTTTAAATACGGTCGGCATACGGTATCCCGTATCCGGTAATTAAAAACCTCCAAATCTAAAAAATTTGGGGGAAAAATAAATAAATAAAATTCCATAAATTTTTTAAAAAATGGATTTTCTTTTTTATTATCTGTGACGCAGAGGAAAAAAGGAGAGACTAGCAAAAAAGCTGAATCCTTCTCCTCACGCCTTCGAATTTTCTATTTGATTTTTTTCTCTGTACTTTCTTAGAAACCAAACACCATCCTTATACCATAATTCTACTGTTTTGAAAGAGTATATAGGCTGAGCTTCTTTTTGAGGCTTTAACTTGAAAAGAAAAAACTTTGCTTTTGCCGGCATTTTCATCTGCTTCTTCTTTAGAAATTTTAATTAGTGGGAATCTCCAACGTTTCTAGGGTTTTGAGATCGATTGAAGCTTTCAAGTACTCACTTGGATTTGAAGTAGTTATTATTTTAAAATATTTTCTTCAGGTATGTGAATAAAATTTTGATATTTCTGCTTCTTTTTTTTATTTGCTATTTTCTTGCTTGCTTGGATCGGTTTAGATTTGGCCTTTTTTTTTTTGTGTTTTAGGCTTAATACTTGTTTGTTTGCTGAGAAAATAGAGAAAGTGAAGAAAAGTTTCTAATTCTGACAATTCTTTGCTATGAAATTTCTTTAATTATTTATTTCTTTATTGTTTAGATTACTTAAATTGTTTCTTGTAATTTTTAAACGGTCAAATGGAAAGTTTGAAAAGGAGTAGTGCAATTATATGAAGCTTGCGGTTTTGATTGAAGATTTCAACGAATTTTAAGTTAATATTGGATCCAGGATTTAAATTTGCTGAAGGCTTATATGAAGTTGTGATGTTTCCCACTGTTTAATAGATAGTAAATTCTAGTTGTGATAGTTGAAGCTTTAACCATCTTTATGCTTTGAGCTTGTTAATGGCAACCGCGGATTGAAGAGCACTGGGGTGTGTGTCTTAAACAATGGTCCCCGCCATTTGCATTGCCTGGATAAGTTCTCAAGTGGGGTCTTGTATTAAAGCTAGATAGAACTTTTGGTGAAAACTGAAAAAAAGTTCATCTTTTTGATCTCAACCTTTATTTGATGCATCTTCCTAAAGCTCAAACCTCAGGGTTGCGAAACACTGAGGAGAAAATGTCTCAGAAAACTGTTGTTCCTCCTTCCCACCGGTTTACTAAATCTTTGCCTGTTGATTTTAGGTTCATGGGTTCTCCTACTTCTGATCCTATCGGATATGCTGATGTAAATTCGGGAAACAATGGTGTAACCAGCTTAAGCGTCCCTGAAAATGGTGATTCAGGGGGAAAGGTTGTTGAGAAAATTGAAAATGGTGTTGCTGATTCTGATCAGGCGAATGAGGATTCACCATATATTGGGAATGCTATTTTGGTTGAGGACAGGCCTTCTGTGGGTGATGAGGACGTGGACTCTGCAGCAACACCATTACCTTCGGTCTCAAAGTCTAACATCGGTTGCAGGTGGAGTGACATAACATCCTATGCCACAAAAAAGGTAATTTCTGGCTCTTGGTTTTATATTAGGTTAGCCCTTCTGGCATTGACAGGATCTGGTCTTTGCTATGTTTATGGTAAATCTCTTGCTCAACTTCTGAATTACTTAATCTTGCTGTTTCAGAAAGTTCAGTCTTGGTTTCAACTTCCAAGTGGGAATTGGGAGCTGGGGAGGATAATGTCAACTTCAGGGATAGAGTCTATTATTTCTCTTCCTGATGGGAAAGTAAGCAAATATTAAGTGAGCATGAAGAATAAGTTCTTACGTTAAGTAGATATTTGATTTATCTACTTGTATTCCAATTGTAGATTTTAAAGGTGAATTCTGATAGCTTGATACCTGCAAATCCTGATATCCTTGATGGTGTGGATGATCTCATGCAACTTAGTTTTTTAAATGAGCCATCAGTGTTGTTCAATCTCCAGTATAGATACAATCAAGATATGATATATGTAAGAGCTCTTCTTATTTTCTATCAATTTTGAACCTGCATCTCAAGGTAAGCGTTTTACTAATGGTGTTGTTGTTATAATTATGTTCAATTCAGACAAAAGCAGGACCAGTTTTGGTTGCTATCAATCCTTTTAAAAAAGTTTCTTTATATGGAAATTATTATATTGAAGCATACAAGAACAAATCCATTGAGAGCCCGCATGTCTATGCGATTGCAGACACAGCCATCCGGGAAATGACACGAGGTACATTCAGTTTCTTAAAGTTGTTAGATTGGTTTTTATTTTAGTAACTTTGGTATTATCATGAGTTTAGGTTTTAATACGGTTCTCGCTTCTCTCTTCTTTTTTTTTTTTTCTAGATGAAGTAAATCAATCTATCATCATAAGGTTGGTATTCTTTTTCTCTTCTTTTCCTTCTCTGAGTATATTTTTTACATGGATTCTACTGATCATATTTTAGCTGCGTACTATACAGATGTTTTCTTATTTGTTATTTGAGAATGCACAACTAGTAATACATTTCGTAGACGATTATTGAATATAAATATTGTAGTTTGCCTGTAGAAGCAACCAGTTTCTCTTTTGGCTATAAAGATGCTCTATTATGTAGCCTGCTATCTATGATGACAAGGATGATCAAATACTAAAAATTTCATGGCTTGTCAGATGCTGGGACTGTAGAATATGCGTCTTAACTCTTTCTGTAATTAATGCTTTTATTGAGTTAGGATGTGCAACTATTAAGATGTAAAAGGGGAGTATAGCTATTGTAGGGATTACCTCCAACTTTGCTGCCTATTAAAGTCATTACTCTAGGTTTAGACATATTTTATGTTTAGGATGTCTAAGGTTGGGCCTAAATTAGTAAAGTATCTTTTGAACTTTTGTAATTAACCAATGCCATTTTAATTTTGGGTGGTTCCTTTTTTTCACCTTTTAGTAAGTTTTCAAGGAGATTCTCTTTATTTTTCGTAATTAGGCCTATTTATCTCTGTATAGATTCTTTTTTGGCTGTGGATGTGTAATATTTTGTTCTTTGACGTGCATTGCAGTATTTACTTTACAGTAGCTGTTCTATTTTTAATTCAGTTCAGCAAATATGTGATGTGGAATGTGAAGTCTTAAATTTCATCAGAGTAAATTACTTTGTTAGATGATTTGTATTGTGAATCTGATCATAATCAATGGAGCATATGTCAGGGGTTTATTACAGCTAACTTTTTATTTTTTATTTTTATTGCATGTTTCTTTGCTTGTAATGGTTGTGTTGCTATTTGCTTGTCTAGTGGTGAGAGTGGAGCTGGAAAAACTGAGACAGCAAAGATAGCAATGCAATATTTGGCAGCTCTTGGTGGTGGGAGTGGAATAGAGGATGAAATATTGAAGACCAATCCCATCTTAGAAGCATTTGGTAATGCAAAAACATTAAGAAATGACAACTCAAGCCGTTTTGTAAGTTCCTTTGTTCTTTCATGGCTCTCAAACTCTTTCTTTGATTTTATCAAATTGCATAGTCTTTGCACATAGTGAAATATGATGAGATGGCTTCAAGTACTAATAATTTAAGTGAAAATCTCAGGGAAAGTTGATTGAAATCCACTTTAGTGAAACTGGAAAAATATCTGGGGCCAAGATTCAAACTTGTAAGCCATTTTTACTACCGAGGTCCTGGGGTGAAATTTAATTATTTGAGCATATTTATTTTTCCTTCCTGAAATCTGTAACTAACATCAAGTTTTGAATTTGTTTTCTCTTCCAAATGGGCAGTTTTACTAGAGAAGGTAATTTTTTTACACCACTTTGTTCTTATGTGCCATTTGATCCATTATATTTTTCTAGGTATGAATTGCTAATTTAATCTATTATATGAACAGTCTAGAGTGGTCCAATGTGCCGAGGGAGAAAGGTCTTATCATATATTTTATCAGCTTTGTGCTGGTGCTCCTCGTGCTCTCAGAGGTAATGATTGCTTGCAATCTTTATTTTTCTTTGGTCTAACATACTTCCTGTTGGCAACAACTGGGATACAAGTTTGTTCTTTTTTGCTGGATTGCTTATGGTTTATTCATCTTTGAGCTTGTCTTAGGGTATGCTTTCCGATCTTCGATAGCAAATTAGAGTTGTCCACTATGAAGGCCTGAAAATGTATATGTTATGGTTTTGACTCCCTAAATGTGATAGTAGAAAAGTATCCATGAGATAACTAGCTTAGTTGTTGTCCTCCCTTTTTTGCTGTTATTTTTGTGGAATAATCTCCTAATTATATTATTTTGAAGAATCATCTTCAATCTTTTGCCATATTAAATTATGTTCTTTGCGTATGTTCATTCAATTTTGGCATACAGAGAAGCTAAATTTGAAGGATGTGGATGATTATAAATATTTGAAGCAGAGTAATTGCTATTCTATTGCTGGGGTTGATGATGCTGAACAATTTCGCATTGTTAAGGTACTTGCTTATTTCCCATGATTTATCTCTTTCATCCATTTAGTTATTTGTCACGATTTATACTTTAAAACTGAGAAAGTAATTGGCATATACTGTTTATATGTCTAATTTCAGGAAGCTTTGGATGTTGTCCATGTTAGCAAAGAAGACCAAGAGAGTGTCTTCGCAATGCTTGCTGCAGTACTGTGCCTGGGAAATGTCTCATTTGCCATGATTGATAATGAAAACCATGTTGAAGCTGTGGCAGATGAAAGTAAGAAATTTCCAAAAACCAATGGGAAAAGACTCTTACTAACTGGGTTGCCCTTATGTCTTTAAGTTCTATTATTGTTGTTGTTATACCTTGTGACCCTTCATTGATGCTAAAAAATTCATCCATATAGCCTTTCCCCTACCCTTCCCCCCAAATTCCTCTTCTTCTGATAATAGACTTTACAAGGAAAGGGAAAAATGAAATGGAGACACAGTAGAAATCCAAGCTAAAAGCTATTAAGTAGTGGTATCCCCCATTGGTTAAGTTTAGAGTTTGCTGTGGCCTTATATTTATGTATATTTACTTATTGCCAATTAATTTTAGGTTGGATGCTTAGAAAATGGTATCAGAGTCCAATTTGTTTGTTATACTTGTTTGTTCATTTAATGATTTGACTGGCATATTTTTTTTGGTGGCAGTATTTTGTGCCAGGGTCAAGATATGATGTCCTGTGCACTAGATTTTCTCTTTTTTAGTTTTTATTTATTTTCCCATTGTATCAGGCATCTGCATTTGCCTCTTATCTTTTCTTCCTTTTAAGTGCTGCTGATATGCGTTCTTGCATTTCTTTCATTAGTATGATATGTCACTGTTTTTTCTACAAAAATGGTCTTCATTTATTCATGTTGCTTTTGCTTGAGCTTCATCTGATCTTTCTGAAGGCTATAATATTACTTTTCAGGTCTAATCAATGTTGCTAAGTTGATTGGATGTGACACTGCAGACCTTAATCTGGCTTTATCAACTCGCAAAATGAGAGTTGGTAATGATAATATTGTCCAAAAACTAACACTATCACAGGTAAGAATCCTTCTTTGTAGAAATACTATATTTTGTTTGGTAGGTCATAAAAAGTGCAAGCTTCTATCTCAGTTTAGGGTAGAGCATGTAAACGATGGTTTCTTCAGATTAAGAATTTCTCCATGCTTATCATTTGAATAACATTTGTGTGAAACCGTTTTTTTTTCCCTTGTGGCTTTCCTGGGCCAAAGTTCGAGTATTTGCCTGTTTATTGAAGCTGGCTGGAGGAAGGCTTAAGTTGCTTTGATCCCAAATATTGTTCTCATTCTATGCTACCTTATGTCCATCTCTACTCTTCATCTAGGGAAATCTCTGAATTGATGCCATAATTATGGAAATTAATATGGATTTGACTCTTCTGCCATGTTTTGAAGAATCAAATTAGAGATTCAAATATGACTGAATTTGATGATATAATATCTTTGTGTTGGCAGTACTGCTGTCTATGCATATATAAATGAGCATGAAATTGATAATTGCAAGATTTCCTCACTTTCTTTCATTTCTAGAGGATGAGTTAAATTATCTTCCTATTATATTTAGCTTTGTATTTCTTACATGACCATTCAGCTTCACAAAATTTCTACACTACCTGCTTCTATATCTTAATTTGGTGTCAAAAGTTAAAACTGTTTGGGATTCTGACCCCCATCATTAGTTTATGAACCTCTGTCTGGTGATTGTCCTAGAGTCTAACATGTTACAGTTGGAAGCGATGTTATTGATATTCTCATTTTAAGACTTGCTGACATCCGTAATCAACACATTCTTTCATTTTCAGGCTGTTGACACAAGAGATGCCTTGGCAAAATCAATTTATGCTTGTTTGTTTGAGTGGCTGGTGGAACAAATTAACAAATCACTGGCCGTTGGCAAGTGGCGAACTGGCAGATCTATCAGCATTCTTGATATTTATGGCTTTGAATCATTTGATGTATGTTTCAATAATGCTTTGAATTTCTCTCTATCTCTCTGTGGCTCTCTGTATGTCCAAATTGGCATTTTCTTCTGTATTTCATTCAACATGATTCCTTTCTACAGAGGAATAGTTTTGAGCAGTTCTGCATTAATTATGCAAATGAGAGATTGCAGCAGCACTTTAATCGTCATTTATTCAAGTTGGAGCAGGAGGTACCTTATATTTTCTGTATCATATGATTGTTTTAGAGCTTAAATTTATTGATATGTGTGGAAAAACTAAGAAATAAATCAGTGTGGAAACTGAATGTATATTGAAAAACTGCTTCTTGAGAATTATACAAGAATCTTAGGTTTATAAACAACTAACTAGGGGTTAAACTAGGAAACTAAATCTTACTAAAAAACTAATCCTATAATTGAGGGATTGTCTATCCTAATTTTAGGGATACAAATACTTAATTCTAGAGATACAAATATAAATATACAGATTACAAGATTACAACCAGATGTAAATAAGTGTTTTCCCACAATATGGATTCTCATGGCATTTATACAACCTGACCGAAACTTGATAGATTTCTTCAACCTTTTCGTGTCAGCATGTTTTGCATTGGGTAAATAATGTGCAACAGTAGCTTCAAAGTGTATGAGTTACCATGAAGTAATGGCAAATGTTACCGTTTTCCAGCTTTGGAAACAAAAAAAAAAAAAAAAGAAGAAAGCTCAAAACTCTGCTGTTGACAATCTATTTTTACATTTTAAGTTTTCCTTGTAAAGAACCTCTTTTATAGCATTTTGCATTCTTTGGTGGGGAAGACTTATTGTAGTAATGAATCATTGAATCTTCGGTGATGATGATTGAAACTATCTTTTTGGATAATTAATGATGATTGAAGTTATGCAGTTGAAGTGAGGGCTGTTGAAAGATCACCTTGCTCAAGAAAGAGTTTTAATTCTTGAATTAATCTTTTTATAAAAGATGGCAATATGTCAGTTGCTTTGCTTTTGTGCTGGTCAGTTAGTGTTGTTTGAGAATTAATGTGATTTCATCCAAACAAGACCTGTGACTTTTACAATGATTCTTCATCCTTTTTTCCCTTTTAGGAATATATCCAAGATGGCATTGACTGGGCAAAAGTTGATTTTGATGATAACCAAGATTGTCTTACTCTTTTTGAAAAGGTAAGGAGTTCATTTTTAATGATTCAGCTTCATGTATGCTTTCCTTCTTTGTGCTTGGGCCTTGGTGTAGGAAATCATGAACTTTTGCACAAATGTCGTTACTGGAAGGCCTTGCAAAGGTTGGCCTGCTTTGATGTTAGTCATGTCTCGTAACATTTTGATATTAATTGTGTAGAAAAAGAAAAAGTTCTCTTAGAATTTTGAAATGAAAAAGTAGTTCTCACAGTTTGTTTCCTGCACTCCTGTCATTTGGTTCAACAGAAGTTGTTTTTGTATCTTATGCATGATATACTAAGATAGTCTTTTTCTCTGATAACATCTCCAATTATTCATATTGTATAACATCTCCAATTATTCCTATTGTATTGGGTTTAGAAGCCTCTATTCACTTTTTCCCTACCAAATTAACAATTCTTGTTTAGGTTTTACGTGACACTAAAACAAAGAATGTACATACATGTCTTGTGTATGTTATGCTGCTAGTATGCTAAGCATGTTTATTGAATTCCAGTTTTTCTTTCATTTGTATTTCCCCATCCTTTTGATGGAGTTGAAGGTAGAAATTGCAAGAATGACAACAATAATTAATCAAAATTTTGATGCTTGCCATATTGATATCTTTTATTCTTTGCAGCATCAATGTATAAAATGTGCTTCTTGGAATCTTATTTTTTATGTTTTTTGCAGAAACCTTTGGGATTATTGTCTCTGTTAGATGAGGAGTCCACTTTTCCAAATGGCACTGACTTCACATTTGCCAACAAGCTCAAGCAGCATTTGAATTCCAATTCTTGTTTTAGAGGAGAGCGAGAAAAAGCTTTCACTGTCTCTCATTTTGCAGGAGAGGTAATTAGCTTTCTAATTCACGGATTGTCAATGCGGTATTCCTTTCTTGTGTTTCAAAGGTGCTTGCCTGCGCCTCCTAGTTTTTCATTGTTCAAAGTATTGGCGGTGGAAGAAAGATGTTTCACTTTCAGTTTTTATTTATTCTTGCTACCTGACAATTTGACAGCTTTTCTTCGATGCCAACTCAGGTTACATATGACACAACTGGATTTCTAGAGAAGAACAGAGACTTACTGCACCTGGATTCAATTCAACTACTGTCCTCGTGTTCATGCCACCTTCCTCAGACATTTGCATCAAATATGCTTAACCAATCTGGAAAGCCTGTGGTGGGTCCTTTACATAAAGCTGGTGGTGCAGATTCTCAAAAGTTAAGTGTTGCAACAAAGTTTAAGGTGAAGTCCTTTCCAAATTTCAAGTGTTCCCAGGCTTCAGTATGAACAATCTTTATCATATACTTAATGAGTACGAATATGTGAAAGAAGCTTCTATGGAATTACGTGCACAAGTATATACATGCTAATAATTCTCATTCTTTCTATTTCAGAGAGGGAACCAGATAGTTTTGAATTTCATATGTGTATATATTGATCCATTACTTTTACTTGACATTTTATGAAATTTTTTATGCTTTTGCAAAAGTTGTTACGCTTCTTGCTCAAAGGTATGGGGTTCATACACATCTTAACCTAAAACTGGCCGTTGTTTATCTTATACTTGAAGTTTCTTTTGTCCTCCTTTGGTTCTTGTCATTTTTTTAGGCAGCATGAAACGAAATCTTGATCAATTTGGGGTGGTCTATCATCTCCAATGTGATTCTTGCAACTGGTTGATCTGGTCGAGATTTAAATCTGTTAATCTGCCTTTCACTGTGCTGTATTTACAACCTTTTCAACTAAAACTGAATCTCTTGGTTCTAATTTTTCTGTCATGGAAAAAATAGTTTTATTGCTTATTGTCTTTTGCTTCTTCCAATGATAATTGTTTAATTATTAGTATGAGGTCTGCTTGTTATGTTCAATGGAGGCAAGTCAAGCATGGTTTTAAAAGTTGTAAGTCCTGTGACACTAGTAGTTTGATTTATTTTTTCCCCTTTATGTTCCTTAAGAGATGAAATCATCTTGTATCCCTGGACAGGAGGCATAGCAGTCCTTGGGATTAGTGAGGTATTTAAGACTAATAAATTGTGGAAGTTGCCATACTATTCAGATTACTGTTTCTCATGCAGTGTTCCTTTGTTATTATAATATAGTCTCAGATGAAATTTTGATTCAAATCTTTGACTTCTTTTGCTTATAAAAGTAATTGAACCCGTGTGAATGTAGGATATAGTTGCAGGAGTATGAAAGAACTTAGATATCTGACCTCAGAATTATAAATTATTGCATTTATAGTTTGTAAAGTCTACTTTTTATGGAATTCTTTTTTGAAGATTATAGTTAATTTATCCTCTATTTCTCTTTTTGTGTTACTTTCTATAATATAGAGTCAACTCTTCCAACTAATGCAACGTCTAGAGAGCACTACTCCACATTTCATACGTTGTATAAAGCCCAACAACTTTCAGTCTCCTGGATCATATGAGCAAGGACTTGTTTTGCAGCAGCTGAGATGTTGTGGTGTCCTAGAGGTTGTTCGTATATCACGGTCTGGCTTTCCGACCAGAATGTCTCACCAGAAGTTTGCCAAAAGGTAAAGAAGAGGAAATCATTTTCTTTTTGTCAATTTTCCTCTCCTTCTCTTTTCCCCCTTTTACACAGATTTGAGAGTTTATACATAATTGTTAAGCATCTGATCTGTTCTCCATTTTTCCTTTTGGGGTTGTGTGTTTTTGTTTGATGGTGTTGGTTTGTTTTGTACCTTTCCTCAGGTATGGTTTTCTTCTACTGGAAAATGTTGCCTCTCAGGATCCGCTTAGTGTTTCAGTTGCAATTCTTCATCAATTCAACATTTTGCCTGAGATGTATCAAGTTGGCTACACAAAATTGTTTTTCCGTACTGGGCAGGTATAATAACAAAATTGGTTCATCCTGTATGATTTACCCTCTAGTCTTTTTTAGCCCTCCCCCAATCTCTTTTGTGGGCTCCTTATTCAGAAAAGAGGGAGGGGGAGTGGGGTATGGAAGTTTGGCAGTGTTTGACTTCCATGGCTGCTGAATGCTGATGTGCCAGTTAAATAGATCACATATGGTGTAAATGGCACTAGCCCCTTGTGCCCATGACAACACTGATCTTTGCCAAAATCGTTGAAAGCCCATGCCTACTTTCCCCTATGACTTGACATGGTTTTTCAGGAACCATTTGGAATATTATAGTTTTCATTTTTAGTTTAACTAAAATAGGAAGCACGGATAAGAATCTATAATTCTGATATGGTCATGCAAGTTACCCTATGAAGATGAGTTTTTAGTTGAAACTTTTTCATGTAAAAGAAGATTATAATGAGCATACTTCTTTTTTTTTTCTTTTTGCATCGATGTTGTTATAATATATAATACACACCACAATAATATGTATTTTTTGAATAGATATGAATACATTCATTTCATTACGTTGATATCCTGTTTTGAATTGAGAGTCAAACCCAATCCCAATCTCTCCACCTTTTAATTCTTTGCCTCAATGATTTGAAAGGCAGTTCAATTTTGAAAAGATTGCTATCAACTCGTGTAATTGAAAGATGTAATTGAAAGATGAAATGCTTAAGAACATCTATCTACTTTGTAACCTTGACTTAAATTGATATAACACAGACACTCTGGACACTCTGGGCAGATTGAGGTTCTTGAGATTTATAAACTGTATGATAGCAGTTACTGTATCTCTTAATAATAAAAAATTGAAAATACCCTGCAACATGTATCTGTTCTTGATCTTGATCTTGATGTATTGATATTGATATAAGATTAATAACCAATGCAGATTGGGGCTCTTGAGGATACAAGGAATCATACACTTCATGGTATTTTACGTGTTCAAAGCTGCTTCAGAGGGCACCAAGCTCGCAGCCACTTTAAGGAGCTTCAAAGAGGAACTGCTACCCTTCAGTCATGTATTCCCATTTTCCGTTTTTATTGCTTTGAAATTATTTTTATGCAAAATAAGAAACTGTCAAGACCTGAATTTTCTTTATCTCTTACTACAGTTGTCAGAGGACAGAAAACCAGGAAAGAATTTGCTGTCTTACTGCAGAGACATAGAGCTGCTGTTGTTATACAAAAGCAGATTAAAGGCAGGAATGCTAGGAAAACATTCAAGAACATTAATAATGCTTCACTTGTGATACAATCAGGTAAGTATTTATTTATTTATTTATTGTTGAGTTTTGATAGTAAACGTGCAAAGCAATATAATGTGTCTTAGTATTTTCTTGAAACTTAAGTTCAGTAGAACTGAAAATGGCTTGGGCTTCTGGCTGCCATGGTCAGGTCAATTTGAGGATAGAGATGTTCTGTATGTCAACAACTGGGTTCTTTCCGTTAAAGATATTCATAAAAATCAAAGTGCATTTCTAATATATAACCCCTGAGAATTTAGAAAGGATGGATGGAAAACATTTAAGTATGTATGAAATTGAATACCCTCCATAAGTGAATGTGATAAATTTGGTTTTGGCTACCAAAATTTAGAAAGACAACAAAGCAGGTTTAGGTTAGATATTTTCTTATGTAAAGTCATAGTGATTGAAAATCATGTCACTGAAAATTTATGTATAATTTCATGATTGTGTGCACTATACTGCAGTAATTCGTGGCTGGTTGGTCAGAAGATGCTCTGGAGATATAGGATTAGTCAAATCTGGGGCCTCTAAGGTACGATTGTGTGCTCTATACTGCAGTTATGTAATTCTTTATTAGTATTTATCAAATAGCATTCCCTTATTACTTTAGTCAGGAAATATTTTAAATATTCTTTTATCTTTTGTAATGATGCATCTTCTCATAAAATATAGGTCCAATCTTGCAAAAAAAGATAAAAAAAAAATGTTCTTCCAAACAGTTTGCAGATCAATTTGTCAGTCAGTTCTATGATGCTTAATTTTATTTTTGAATCTTTCTTTTTTAACTGTTATGCAGAATCTAAATTTTTGGTAATCATCGGATTGTTATTCTAATTCAGTCTCAATATGTTGTGGTCGGTTGCTTTTAATCAGTTCCAACTTTTTCTTAGAACATATGTGCATTCATCCCATATTATATTATTTGCATTTGAGACACTAAATGATTTTAAATTCTGATACAGGCAAATGAATCAGATGAGGTGCTGGTCAAGTCATCATTTCTCGCTGAACTGCAGCGCCGAGTTCTTAAAGCTGAGGCTGCTCTGAGGGAGAAAGAAGAGGAAAATGACATCCTCCACCAGCGGCTCCAACAATATGAAAGCCGTTGGTCTGAGTATGAGCTAAAAATGAATTCCATGGAAGAAGTGTGGCAGAAACAAATGAGGTCACTGCAATCCAGTCTCTCCATTGCAAAGAAGAGCCTAGCAGTTGATGAGTCTGAGAGAAATTCAGATGCATCAGTTAATGCAAGTGATGATAGAGAGTATAGCTGGGATACAGGAAGCAATCATAAGGGTCCTGAGAGCAATGGTTTGAGACCGATTGGTGCAGGTTTGAGTGTTATAAGTCGGTTGGCAGAGGAATTTGAGCAGAGGAGTCAAGTTTTTGGTGATGATGCCAAGTTCTTGGTGGAAGTAAAATCAGGACAGGTTGAAGCAAGCCTGAACCCAGATCGTGAGCTTAGAAGGTTGAAGCAGATGTTTGAAACTTGGAAGAAGGATTATGCAGCAAGATTACGAGAAACAAAAGTGATCTTGAATAAACTTGGAAATGAAGAAGGTGCACTTGACAAGGTGAAAAAGAAGTGGTGGGGAAGGAGGAACAGCACAAGGTATACTTAAATTAGATTATTATTACTATTATTATTCTTTCTAGTTGGTCTATAGTTGCTGTGTTGCTGCTGTTAGCTGCATATTCTATTCGTAACCAGGAATTGTCGCATATAGAAATTGTGAGAGTTTTGCTTTTACATTCGATTTGGTTATTGAAGAGGCAAGTAATTCAAATGCATACCCAAAATTTAAAATGTATATTATTTTTACTAAAAAGCTAATTTTAAATCCACAAAATTTGAGCTTTGTTTGTGGCTGAAATGCTGAAAGATTGCATTGTGTTAATCCTCAGTTTAATTTCTTCTACTCTTTGTGCACTCCTACGGTGTTACGGTTACTAATTCATGCAAAAGTTGCATAACAACCCCCATTCCCATTATTTAGCTGCTTCAGCATCCATTTCTCATGCTGCTTTGGTTTGGTGTAGTATCAGTTGTTGGTGTTGTTTTCATTTATTGCATGGAGTTGTTCTATTTTTTGGATGGATAATTTCATTGAAAGACTTGAGCAGAACATCATCTACAGCCCCCTCTGGAAAGGAATGGGGCTGTTGACATTCACAAGCATAATGTAAGTTTAGCAATGTTGTGGGGAGGTACATTTGCCTCTGGGAGAAACAGCAAAAATTACGTGAGGAAGAAGGCAACGATGTTACGTCCTCACCCTTCTTTTCTCCTTTATTAACTTCTGTAATGCCCTGTTTTGAATCTCCTTCAATTGTTAACTTGTGAACTCCTTCCTTCAATACCAAATGTTATTATAGGCAGTTACGGTTCTAATAACGAATCAGAAGTACGGAAATGCATAAAATCTCCAGTTCTCTTACCCATAAAAAAGAACCCAAAAAAAAAAAAAAAAAAAACTGCTTCCTCTAATATGCATGAAAAACAATTAGGCTTTGGTTGCAAAGGTTTGGGCAATAGCCATGTCTCTCTTACCGAATCGGGATTAGATGTCGAGGGTTCGTATTTTCAACTGAAGACATTTATAATATGTAAAAACAGCCCGAACTTAAACGTTTAAGGTCATTCTATTTCTTTTTATACGTAATTCATGACATTTTTTCGTCCAATTGCACTAACTTTCATCCATAAAAATGGGATTGACCTCTGGTATGAGCTACCCGGATCTTGATATCTTTCATAGAGTTTATATAAGTAAAGAATTAGATATGTTTTCTACACAATTTATCATGTATCTATATTTTTAATCCAAAAAATATATTTATTAGGAGGAGAAAAATCATGACTTATAAGACTTATTGTTTATGTAAAACTCGTGACAAATAGATAATGGCTATCAATGAATATTATGAAAGAGAAAAAATTATTAAAAGTTTATGCATTGAATATAAATTATTTTAATAATTTTATAAATGTATAAAATTAGAGTTATTTTTTATCCATAATCGAAATTTCCGATGGAATTTAATCCCAATAACAAAGTGAGAAATATTTTTGGTCGAAATTAATTAATGGGACCATATCACAAAATAGTGGGGTCCTGGTGCTAATCTCTTTAAGCACTGACGTTGGCTAACAGGGCGTGAGAGGCCCCAACGCCAGACCGCGTAAAGCGCAAAGCCGCAAAAGCCCTAACGTCTACTGCTGCTGCAGTTGCAAGTACGATGTTGTTGTAGTTGTTGTGTGGCAGAGGAAGGAGAGAAGAGCAAAGCAAGAACAAACACACCAAACACTTTTTACTTTTTTCGTTATTACCTTAAAACTACAAAAAGAAAAGGTCAAAGCCCCCCTTTTTTATTTCAACATTGAGAGTAATAAAAGCTTGATAAAAATGTTGGCTTGTGGCAGCTTTCGCATCTATCATCAAAATTTAAGATTAGGGTTTTGCGCCACCAGAATCTTGCAGCTTTCTTCTTTCATGGTTAAACCTCCCTCCTCCTTCATCGCCGTAAATGTTGACACTAATTGTAATCATCGATTCCAACCCCGATTTGTTTCTTCTTCTAGTCTTCAGTCGAAATCCGCTGGCGACATTCCTATTCTTCCCGATTCCTTCAGGTTCTTTTTTTCCCCAAAAAACTTTTTAGTAGTAATTTGTTATCGTTTTCAGGTTCCCTTATGTTAACAATTTAGCTGTTTGCTTGAACTTTTTTTTTTAATTTCAATCAATTTAATTAAACAGGTGTTCAAAATTGATATAGGGCTCTGTTTTTGAATTAGTTATAGTTAGGGTATATTAGTTTTGTATTTTTGAAGCATCTGAATAATTTTGTTTTGTGCAAAGCCAACGAGAAGACGATCATGAACACCCTTCTGAAGCATTGTCCTCAGTGGCAGGTTTCTTTTTCATGTTCTTCTCCTTCACTTGTATTCTACCATAATTTATATTTTTGTATGTTAGTGTTTTTATGTTACTTGTTGGGATCATTCCACCAGGAGGGGTAGTTGCATTGGGAAAGTTTGACGCTCTTCACATCGGCCATCGAGAACTTGCAATTCAAGCATCAAAGGTTGGAACTCCATATCTTTTGTCATTTGTAGGAATGGCAGAAGTCCTTGGTTGGGAGCCTAGGTAAAGTTTGTATATATATGTTTGTTTAATGCTGTAAATCTTTTGGCTGTTTTAATGGCTGCTTCTCATAGCTAATGAAACCAAGTATGGTTTTTAATAGGCCTCCTATAGTTGCCCAATGTGATCGTAAGCGTGTTCTTTCCTCTTGGGCTCCATATTGTGGTAATGTGGCTCCCAAGGAATTCCAAGTACAATTTATGAGTGTTAGACATCTTACACCAAGGCAGTTTGTGGAGAAGTTAGCGAAGGAGCTTGGAGTATGCGGAGTTGTGGCAGGTATACTAAAAGCTGTGTCAACTCTTAGAAGTTTATTTGTCTCCAAATTATCCAGTAAAAGGTTAACCCAGATAATTTGAAATAAATTATTTCAATGGCTACTTGTCACAGGTGAAAACTATCGGTTTGGCTATAAGGCTGCTGGTGATGCTTCAGAATTGGTGAGGCTATGTGATGAGTTTGGTATGGGTGCTTACATAATAAATTCTGTCATGGACAGGCACCAAGATGCCAGAAATATGAACTGTTGTGATTTAAAAGAGAGAGGACAAGTTTCTTCTACTCGTGTTCGACATGCTCTAGCTGAAGGTGACATGAAATATGTGTCAGATCTTCTAGGCCGCCAACATCGTTTGTTATTGGTGGTGAAAGACTGGGAAAGCTCAACTATTACTAGCAGAAAACATAGGGTGTCAGCTCCAAAATCTTCTTTGCTAAATCTACCACCAAAAGATGGTTTTTACGAGAACTGTTCTCTTTTATTTGGGGAACAAAAACCAGTAACATGTAGAGTATCTATTGATAAAACACATATCCATCTAGAGGTGAATCAGGTAGATTTTTGTGATTATGATTACTCTCAAAACTCCCAGATCTTGGGTATTGAATTTGGTGAATTAGGAGTTAATTGTGTTTAGTATACGTGTCAATTATTAAGTTAATTTCAGGAAAGTATTTCATGGGTGAGGATTTTCATCCATGTTTTAAAGCATTTAGCATATATAACTTCCCCATATGAGAGGGGCCTGTATTTTTTTTTATCAATTAAATTATATTTGTATATTGCAGAAGAATATAGGATGCCTATCCCATTCTTTAAGTTGGAAATGAATTATGTTTTCCTTTCCGAAGAACTGCTTTTATTTTAACGTTTTGATTAGTTAGCTGGCTCAAAAATATTTCTGATTGTGTTGGCTTGAAGGATTTTCAATTATCAGTGCCTAGGCAGCAGAGGTGAGTGTGTGGATTCTTAAACTTTATTGCTTGGGTTTGCTTTCTAATGAATCTTCAGCATGCTTTCAGTTGATTGATGGTTTGTGTGTCCTAGTGCATCTTTCTCTACGGTAGACTTGAATATTAATAGAAATGAGTCTAGATGGAAGGAAAAGCAAGTGCTTGGGTGATCCATATCGGGTGAAGTTGGGAAACTATATAAGCTGTAGTTTTCTTCTGGTCTTGAGAATTAGCCTTGTTTTCTTTTGTTGTAACTTTTGGAGAATTAGGACTTAGATCTATGGTTTTCTTGAGGTATGACAAATATTGCACCATTTTCTTTATTTTTTTGTGGGGCATCATACAAGAACATTAGCGATGCGTCATTTATCTTTCTGGAATACTTTTTGTAAGAGAGAAATGTGTTATGTGGCAGTTTATTACTTGGTGATGATATTAGATGACTAACAAGTGGAGAGAATATGATTTATGTATAGATTGGTAATTGGCTTCAAAAGTACTTCTTGGGCTTTATCCAGTCGCTTTGATTTTATCATTTTGAATTTGGTTGCTTTGGTTATCACTCCACATTTGAGTATCTGAAAGTAATTTACAGTTTCTGTTTATTAGTTCTTTTGAACAATTCTGCATTACTACAGTTGGGTTGTTAAATAGTGTTATGCAGTTATCATGTATTTGTTTGTTCATGTTGCTGATAGTTGGAAAGTTTGACATCATGGAGTATAAAAAGCATGGTGAAGTCATCTTTTGCACTTTAAGAGTAAATAACTTGTTGAGGTCGATGAATCTGAAGATCTTGTATGACCTTTGTCTAGGCTTTGAGTACAAGTGAATATCTGATTTTTAGGGCATTTCTCATGCTTTAATTCTTAAATTTTATTTTGATGTAAATTTTCTGAGAATTTAAGGTCTTAATATCCGACTTCAGTTTTAAGTTCCCCCCCCCCCCCCCTCCACCCCTTCTCTCTTCCTTTCCCCTCAAATGCTGGTGAAGGAACAGTTATTATGGTTTCATAGGACTCTTAAGGACATCCAGAATGATAATATCTTGCCAGATTGGGTAACAGCTATTTTGTGCAACATGCAGCTGATGACTTGATAATGTTTTTCTGCGACACGTCTGCATAAGTTTCTGCATATCAGGGGATTCCAAAAAAAAGTTTGAAACTTAGGATCAACATTTGTTTCATGGTTTAAAAAGTTGCTAGTGTCTACCAGTTTACAATCCTTTTTATTTTGTGTCATCTTGAATTTTTGTTGTTTTTAGAGACTCAACATGTTCTGGATAGCTTGTTATGTGGAGTCAATTGCATATTGTCCTTATTGTTTGTGGTATATGTTGTTTTAAGCATCCTTGACGTTGATCGCTTGTATGCATGATGATTACATACATGAAATGAAACCTTGGTGGCTTTTTCTCATTCAACCGTCGTGGGTTTTGCTAGTTTTACCCATATTGGTTATGGAGATATAAAGAAGGTGAAGATTTTTCCTTCAAATTTGTTCTGAATTTTGAGACTTGGAAACAATTACAGGAAGTGAATTCCATTTGGTAGAGCAATCAAATATCATACCCAGGAAGGTCCAAAACGGATTTGGGATAAACGTCATCAAAGAAACGGTACGGTATCCACGATGTAAGATGGAAAACCAAAGTAAAACATATTATAAAAAAATACGTTTCTCTTTTTTTTTTTTTTTATGGGGTTTTATATCCATGGAAAAATTTATTAGTTGCAAAATTAAGCCTTAATTCTAAAACTAAAAGCAATAGCATATTCATAGCAACCAAGTTTAAATTGAAATAAATTAATTTAAATTTAACAAATATAAATAATCTCAAAAATAAAAATGTAAATATAACCCTTTTCCTCTAATTTTCATTCCCTTTAGTTTCTTTTTCTTAAATAAAATAAAAAGCTTGAATACAAATTTTTTTTGAATTAAAATTAAATAATTATTCAAATTTTTATTATTTTATTATCATCAATTTGCTTCGCATATTTATTTTCATATCATTTAATCTTTAAATATTTATTTTCAATTAATTAAATTATTGATTAAATAAAAATTAATGTTATCCATTAATCAATTTTTATTTAATAAAAAATTTATTAAATAAGAATAAATATTTAAACATTCAATTGATTATAATAAAATAATAAAAATTTAAATGATTATTTAATTTTAATTAAATAAATTTTTTATACGTAAGCCAAATAAAAACAGTTTTTTCTTTATTGAAAACATGCCACGCCCCATCTCTCTTTCTGATTCATATTACAAATAAAAGAGGATTCTCCTAATTAAAACAAAACAAGAAAAGACCCAAACGCCTTTCACATTCTCCTTCTGCCCATTCAGGTGACTTCTTTTTTCCTTCTGCATTCTTATTATTTTACTGAGATTATCAACTAAATCCAAATCTATAGATTATTTTCTAATGCCTGCACTTGTTTACGATCTTTTCTCTTTATTCTTTTTATTCTTTTTTTTTTTTTTTTTATGAATTGGGTTTGCCTTTTGGCTTCCGCTTTTGATTTCGATCATCCGGTTATCGTGTTCTTTGTAACTGACTTCTACCATATTATAAATCAAAGAGGACTATCCTAATTAAAACAAAACAAGAAAAGACCCAAACCCCTTTCACATTCTCCTTCTGCCCATTCAGGTGACTTCTTTTTTCTTATCTCCTTCTTTTTTCCTTCTGCATTCTTATTATTTTACTGAGATTATCAACTAAATCCAAATCTATAGATTATTTTCTAATGCCTGCACTTGTTTACGATCTTTTCTCTTTATTCTTTTTATTCTTTATTCTTTTTTTTATGAATTGGGTTTGCCTTTTGGCTTCCGCTTTTGATTTCGATCATCCGGTTATCGTGTTCTTTGTAACTGACTTCTACCCGAGTCGTGGTCGAGTTGACTCGCTTCCGACAGCCCGACACCACGTCAGGGTGACAGCCATTTCAATTTACGGATCTTCCTTTCTTCTTGCGAGTTGTAGTTTTGACGGCCTTACGTTACATCCAATGATCCAAGATTCCTTGGTCCAACGCAGCTGCGTATGCTTTTTGTCTTTCCTATATTACCCCTTTCCTCTATGTCCCTTCTATCCTTTCTAGATGAAAGGGCGGGATTGTGCCCACTTACCCAATCATAACGGGACCAAAAAATTTCAAAGGGCATAACCGTCGTTTGCAACAACCCTCTTAGGCTCCTAAATCGTCGGATTGGGGGTTAGCTATCAATCCCTGTCATGTTGTTTAAGCAGCAGGGCTGGGGAAGGGAAGACGTGGCATTCTATCATTAGTTTAAACTGGTCGAGTTTGCACACACGCGCTGTTTGTTAGTTTTTCCTTTTTAGTTTATTCTTAATAATTTATGGCTGTATTTTGTTGAATGAAAATTTTTTCTTGCAGTAGTCTCGTATTTTGGATACAAGCAAAGGAAGGTTCTTGGTCGGTGGGGTTACCGATACAGCAATTGATAGGGCTGTCAGTGTCTATCCATTGACAGCCCGATTCTTTTTAAACTCCTTTTTAGTTTTTGTTTACAAGGTAAGAATAGGAATATACAGCATCAACAATAGAATATGCCAACCTTGGCTTAGCTCATTTGCTTGACATCTTCTTGCTTGTTTTTCCCGTGTTCTATTTCTTGATTTAATTCAATTTGTTGGGTCATAGTTGGATCCTCTTATTTTGTGCAGGTGATTCTTGCGTTTAAAATTTCTTTTGGCTTTCTGGGTATTGACCAGATAGAGTTTCTTTGACTTTTGGATTGGCTGTTTATTTTTATTTGAGGACTGCTTCATATTGGTATGGTAGTTTCTGTTCTGGGTGTTCAATATGGGTTCCTTGTCTGGAATCATTCAACGTCCTCTAGCTGCAGCCGCTGCTGTTGCCGTGGCTTCTGTTTCTGCTGATTTTTCTGTTAAATTTCCACCTCCTTTATCGGATACTTGTTCGACCTCAGAACAAATTGAAACTTCCGTATCTAATTCCTTACCAGAGTCCAAGGCCTCATTGGCAGAAAATATATCAGCTTCCAAGATTGCAAGCCTGTCGTTTGTTACTAGAATTCGAGTACCTCTCCCTAGTGTTAACTTTCCGATTCCAAACTCAGGCCGGAATTTTGTTCCCAATGTCCTATGTTCTTCTGTTGCTTCATCTCCACTGCTAGGTAATTTGTATAAGTCAGCGGAGTTAGCTAAACCATCAAAGCATGTTGCATGTACAGAGAGTATCCCTACCTCAACCCCTGATGTTTTGTACAGATGGCATTTGCCTGAGCCATCTGCAATTGATGTTTCTGGGACGTCTGACTGTTCGTCAGCAAAGTCTCGTACAGTTGTTGTTTTGTTAGGGTGGTTGGGATCTAAGCAGAAACATCTCAAGAGATATGCAGAGTGGTATGCCTCCAGGGGTTATCATGCCATTACCTTCACCTTCCCAATGATTGACATTATCAGTTACCAAGCTGGTGGGAAAGCTGAGCAGGACATAGACATTCTTGTTAATCACTTGGCTGATTGGTTGGAAGGGGAGCATGGGAAAAACCTGGTTTTTCACACTTTTAGCAATACTGGATGGTTAACGTGAGTTCTATCTCTTAGTGTCTGATACACTTGCAAGCACAGACAACACTGCATTTGTACATATATGCATGAAAGAACTTTATTTCTGTTGTTTACGCTAATTATCTTAACTGATTTTCTGGTTGCAATTCATCTTGTTGCAGATATGGAGTTATTCTTGAGAAGTTCCAGAAACAAGATCCTTCTTTAATGGGAAGGATAAGAGGCTGCATTGTGGATTCAGCCCCTGTTGCCGCCCCTGACCCACAGGTAAATGGCGCTTGAAGGTGTCTCACATATGTAACTGACTTGATTAAAAACACATTATCTTACCGAGGAAGAGTAGACATATTTTAGTGCTAGCACTTTATGTTAAAACTTGTTGATTCTGGTAATAATCAAATCTACTTTTATCAATAAAAAAATGGTAGTTATAAGTTATAACCACCAGCTTGTAACTAAATTACAGAATTTATTTGAAAAAGGAAATTTATTTTATATTATAATGCAAAATTAAGTTATGATCATCAGTCAGACCTCTGTATACTTCTGCCTAAGTGTTAATAAGTTGCTAGTGTCCCTTTATCATGCTTTGCTTTTAGGTGGATATGGATATTCCTAAGTATATGGACATTGTACATTCGTTCTTTTCTGTTCTTGCTGATTTATTATCCGTAAAGCATCTTCCTTTGTTGGTGATGGTCTTGTGCTCTGATACAATAGGTGTTCCGGTTCTCTTATGTCCCATTATGTCATTGCTAGTGCTCATAAAAATTATACTGTTTTATGCTTGATTTGTCTTGATACAGTACATTTACTGCATTGAAAATCTGTAAAATTGTCAACTTTTTCTCCAAGAAATTTGTAGATTGGCATTTGCAAGAGTGTTGTAGGCTCTATGTTTATTGATCCTTCTGGAGTTTTTTATTTCTTTTGCTTTACGTTTGGAGTTCATGCTTCAGATCAGTACACTGGATTTGCTTATTATATTTTTTTCAAATTTTCAGGTCTGGGCTTCAGGTTTCTCCGCCGCTTTTCTGAAGAAACATAGTTTTGCCACAAAAGGATTTGCTAGCTCAAGTGAATCAGATATGGGGGCATCAGTTGGCAAAAGAGAATTCTCAGAACCCAAGCCTGCAGTAACTGAAGCTGCTTTGCTGTTAGTCCTGGAGAAGTTCTTTGAGGTTGTTTTGAATTTTCCTGGTGTTAACAGGTACCTGTCCCCTTCAATTTAGTCAGAAAGGAATGGATGTTTTACTATTCTAACTGGATAGGCGATGTTTGATTCATTGAAAAGCTTTCCTCTGGGACTCAGAATTATTTGCAATACACAACTTTTTCAAGATTTTCTTTCTTAGAAGTATGCATGATATATTCTCACTCTCTATCTCTTTCGTGCTTTAAGGCATTATCTAGGTGGCCTTTATGATCCTAACTGGAAGTCATCCCAATGTTCATTATTTATTCAAAGTCTCTACCCCTTAAAATTGACATAACTCGGTATCATATCATCTTGCAGGAGGCTTTCTGATGTATTAGGCTTGCTGTCATCTGGACAACCTACCTGTCCTCAGTTATATATTTATAGCTCTGCAGATAGAGTCATCCCTGCTGATTATGTGGAATCATTTATAGAGAAGCAAAAGAGATCTGGGCGTGAGGTTCGGTCATGCAACTTTGTCTCCACACCACATGTTGATCATTTTAGAAAGGACCCTAAACTGTATACAAGTCAGCTCAGCCAGTTTTTGGAGGACTGTGTGCTTACTTGTTGCAAACATTCTTGATTAAGTACATATGAACATAACCGTATTCATTTTTTTTTTTCCGTCCGACAGGGAAAAACCCAGTGTTACATACTCAAAGTGCCTGTAGTCACATAGAGGTTATTGACTGTACTGGGAAGAATAATAGCTCATTTTTTTTCTATTGAACTTGTATGACAAATTCATTCATAATGTTTTCCTGGTCCGTACCGAACATAGTTTTCTTCTTTTGCCTTGTAAGATCAGTTTTATATTAGTGCAAGCTTTGTCAAAATTTTAATGTCATTTGAGCTCAAGACTTGGTGTCCATTTGCATAGACGATGAGATTGGCTTTGATAAGATTAAAAATAGTAACAACGATGCGATTAGTTACTATAATGATAAGATTAAGTACTATAATGATGAGATTAAAATCAATGGTGAAATATGTATTTGAATACAAACGTAGAGAGAACAAAGAGGTGAAATGTAATGACTAGAGAAAATTATCATTAAGAATATTAGATTAACATTTGTATAATAAAATTTATAATATATTTGAGAAGTTAATCAATAATATAAAAATTATTAAAATTATTTTTAATATTAAATTAAAATTTTTATATAATAAATTTCATTGTACAGTTGATATTTTTTGAAGTTAATAAATAATTAAAAATTATTAATAAAAATGACAATTTTATATGATTTATTTTTTAAATAATTTACTTTATTACACAAGTAATAAAAATATTTAAGGGCTTCTAAATGCACCACTTAAATTTTTTTATACACCTTCCAAATTTCCTTCCAAAAAGACCTACGTATCAAATATAAAATATATCCTTTTATAAATTACACTTTTACTTCCTACACCACATATAATCATTTTTTTTTCTTTACGACTTTTAAAAATAAGTTTTTAAAAGTTTTAAGATTTTTTAAAAATAAAATTTTAAAAGTAAAACCTCTCGAAAATAAATTTTCAAAAAAATTTTAAGTTTTTGAATTTTCAAGCAGCTTTAAGGCTTTTGACTTTCAAAAAATTTTAAGTTTATCGAAAATATATTTTCAATAAATCTTTAGAATTTTTAATTTTCAAGAAACTTTAAGTTTTCTCTAAAATTTATTTACGAGAAACTCAATTTCATCTTCATTCTGCCATAAATTCTAACTTATATTCACTAGCATTTCATCCAAATTTCAATCAAATCAAGCCACTGACTGCACTACTCGAAAAGGACCAATTTAAGTGGGGTGAGAAGGCAGAGTCTCAAGGATGCAATGATTGAATCAGAAATTTAGGATGCAACCGTTTATCATGCTCCGACTTTTATCTCACTCAAAGATGCTGTGATGGGAGAAACAACAAAACTATACACCATGTGTATGGATAATTTCTATTCAATTAAGAAAAACATTTTACATTTGTAAGGCTGATAGTTTTTCCTCATTTCATCAACAAAACAATCTGATGAGACAGAGGAGAGACATTTCTAAGTCACCTAGAAAGTGACTCATACATCTTCTAGTCTTTGGAGATTGCCTGCTGAAGATATTTGAAAGCTTTCTGGTAATTCAAGAAGCCCATAAACCAGAAGTCAAAATCATCTACTGTCACAATTTCCATGTACTTTGGCGATGGTTTCTCCATGTTTTCACTTTGATTAACTCCCTTTATTTTCTCAAGCGGAATTAAAACCTGCATGAAATTGATAGAGCATGAGATGCATGGACAGGGAGTGAGGGTGCACAATTACATAGAGAGAGAAAGGAAGAAATATATACCTTGTAATTGACTCTGAGCAATTCTCCATTAGGAGAGGGGATTTTGATTGATCTATCACTGCAAAAAGCAACCTTTTGGGAGGAGATGAAAAGTAGGCCGGCTATAGGACCTGTTGTTGTTGATAAATAACATTGACAAGCCTTCAACAGCTTCTCCCCTTCTCTGACACTAAACAATTGTTTGAAAATTTTCTCCACCCCTCCCACTTGAAGAATTCTTGCCCCCAAACTCAATTTCCCCTTCACAGTTTCAGTGATCTTTGGGCCCAACCTTACTGCAGTTTCAAAAGTAACAAAAATAACATTAGTTTTCATTTCACCTTAATCTTGGGACGTAACATATGTTTAGACTTTTTTAAGTGTTTCATACCATGCTCTCGGACTCCATGTGCAAAAGTATCAGCTTTCTTCCTTAGCTTGTTCATCCTTTTAAGTACAAAATTCCCTTTGCCTGCAATTCCAAAGACTCCCATTAGTACTGAAACATCTTCATTATGAATTTCTATACCCATCATTAGGAGAGATTAAGGGAAACCTACTTTTTCTAAATGTGGTAGACCGTTCAACCGAAGATGAAATGCGGTATTGGCCAGCGGCATCAGGTAAGTACCGCCTTGGCGTTCTCTCAACTCGATGTGTTGTTGATTTGATTGGAACTCCAATAACTTGTTCAAGCAGCTGATTCTTCATTTTTGATGAATGGAATGTGGAATTTTTTTTCTAGTCTTGCAGATTGCACCAACTATGCAAGCTGTTGATTGTTTCTTCAGCTTCAGTGATCTAGGAAGAGATGCTTTGTGATGATTGATGAATCTTGTTTTTGGCGAATGGTATTTAAAGGGGATATAGATGTGGTGGTTGAATCTAACTGTTTGTTGCATGAGTCACCTATTGCTCATCAAGAAGAATAAATGCAGAACATAGACTTCCAAAAGATAATATTTAGGCAAAAAGCATGGTCTTTGTAAGTAGGCAGAGCAGACCACAAAAAATAAAATAAAAAAAAAGTCTGAAAATGAGAAAAATCCTAACAGACATCATGGATTGCCTCTTTTCTCTTATACTGACTATAAGAGGATGTGGCTTTGAAACTTTCTGAGTTGGCATTGTAGCTTTCTGATGTCTACCTCCTTTACTGCTAGGATAAGAAAGAAAAGAAAGGAAAAGTACATTTGGGAAACAAATGGGTCACCTCCTCAACCAAACAAATTGCAGACTAAAAGATATGATAATGCAGTGACTTCAGAGTCAGTGGTGATGGAAGTTCTGAGATATGTCATCCATGAACATGTGATGTGAGACCTTCATACCCATTACCATCTTTTCCTTTTTAATGGACAGGTTATAGAGCTCGATCAATAGCTCTCTCCAAAGTTCTTGGGAACTCTTGTAACTTGGATTTATGTGTCAAGGAGTAAATCTTGGTTTTGGCCCCAAGAAAAAAAAATGAGTAAATCTTGGTATTCATATCATTTTTTGAAAATTAAGAGGGAGGTTTTTTTTTTTTTTTTTTTTCATATCAAAGTTGTCAGGATTGAACAAATTAAGAATTCATCATTTTATTAATAGATCATACTATTTGTTCAAAAATTCAGCAGTTTATCAACAAATAACACGATTTGTTGTCAATCACATGAGGGAGTTTAATGCTTATAAAGTGGTAACTAATGATTTATTGCTTTGGATTCTGTAATTCTGTATCTCTACCAGCAGTGGTTAAGATTTCTAAATTTAGATAGCTAAAACTGGTTCAAAATTTCCAAATTCATTAGGTACTTCAAGTACTAGGAACTTGTCCATGTCATCTCTTCGCCCTCTGTTTTCTTTTTCATATTTGATCTTTATTTTCTTTTCCTTTATTATTATTATTATTATTTTTTTTTTTTGCTTTTTTCCTCTATCTGTCAAAGGATCATGAAAAACTGATGTGCTAGGATAGCAAACTTCAGAAACTTCTAAATGTGATGAAAGGTGTGACGAAGGGGTTCTTGTATGATAGAAAGAAATCTCTTTTGAAAAGGCGATGAATTATAGCTTGATTGGTCAAAGAAAAGAGGCAACCTAACCAAGCAATTGTTCATTTGCTTATCTGGAATACAATCCTTCTAGCATTCTCCTTTTTTTTGTCCTCAATTCATAATCCTGATGTGGAAATGAATGGGCAGTAGGACATGCATATTCAAGATTGCCTTAATTATTTTTTAATAAATTTGATAATTTATATATTTATAAGATATTTATTTTGTATAAAAATAAAAAAATCGTATCATAATTTATATAAATATAAAAATATAAAATACATTACTTTTAATTTTTTAAATTCATATATTATTTTTTTATCAAAATTTCAAATTATATTATTTTTATATTTTGGGTACATCATATGGTATCTAAAATTGACAAATTTCTTTCCATTGCCCAAGTCAGCATTATGAGGTGAAGCTTTTGCTAAACATAAAAGAAACGCGAGAATGAAGGAACGGGCCGACTTTGTCGACTAAAGGAAACATACAATAAGATGACTCGTACTTGAAAGTTCGTTGCAAAAATAACTGCCACATCAGGCCCATTCCCCACATGGCATGATGGCGTTTGGAGTCTAGATCCTGAATCTTCAATGAACTCAACAAAGTATTTGATAGGGCGGCAAAAGTTGGCGAGAAGACATTTTTTAGTTATATGCAGAACCTTAAAAGTTTACAGTACCTCAGTACCCGACAAATATTTATGCAAAAATCATTAGCAGAAAATAGAGTAAATAACATAAATGATCATGAATTTTGGATCAAATATCAATCTGATCTCCGATCTTCAAAAAAATTTATATTGGTTTTACAAAATTATTTATTTTAATGTTAAATGACGGATAATATCAAGTAACACTAACTGACTATAAGATATTAAAAAACATATATTTCTTTAAATAAAAGTTTTTGTTTTTTTTTGTTCTCTCACCGTTCGTTGGCAAAGCCCAACCGACACCAACGAGCGCTGCATCTAATCCTGCTGACACTACAACCCATGCTATCTAACAAGGGAAAAGAGAATGTATTAGTGAAACCCTAATAAGATCCTAATTTATTAAATTTCAAAACGTTTGCTTAAGATTTATTCCAAATTAAAAGTTCAATCTCTTAATTGAGAAATGAACTAAAAGTTTGATATTAAATTAGGCATTTTTTGGGCCAAAACATAAGCATTTATGTAATAGAATAATGCTATTGAATTAATCAAAGATTAATTTGAAGAAGAGAAGAAATAAATAAATGAAAAGAGAAAAAGGTTAAGATTAGAAAAGAGAGATAAGAGAGTAAAGAAATTGTGATTTTTCATTCATGCAGAAAATGTGCATATAAATAATAGTTATACTCATAATTCGTGAATTACAATACACGATACAATCCTTACAGTTGTTATTTTAGTAATTATTATCCTATACACATACTCATAATAACTGACTAATCATGATAGTTTGCACTAGATAACGCCATTCTCAACTCTTTTGCATCATTTGTACTACCAGTTTCCTTTCGCCTCTTATTGGTATTTTTGTCAATATTAAAGTTTTTTCTTAATCTCATGTTATGATTGTTGGCTCTATCATCTTGGTCACTTTCTAACTTCATCACATTACCCTTCAGAGCATCTTTGTTCTCAAGGATTAAAAAGTGAAAATTGAGATTAAGACTGTAAAAATTGAGATTAAGGATCGAGAAATCCTCTCAACATTCTTTGGACCAAGATTAAACCACTCCACCAGTAGCTAAGTGACTACCTTGTTATTTCTTTTCACCATTTGCTTATCAAGCACAACAACTAGATCTGCCAACGGTTGATCATAATGGGTTATACTAGAGACATTTTTAGTGGCAACCTTTTTCTTTAAGAGACTAACATGAAAAATAGGATGCAACTATGAAAATTTTGGTAATTGCAACTTATAAGCTACTTTCCCTATCCTTGCAAACCATAATACCATGATGAAAACTTTAAATTTTTCTTAACGCAAAAGAGGTCTGTTGTAAAGTTGTAGTTTTAAATACACCATATCTCTCAACTAAAACTCTTTTTCAATCCTATTTTTATCAACATAAAACTTTATCTTGTGTAAAGCTTTTCCAAACTAGTCAACCATAGCATACTCAAATTTTCTTATTCTTTAAGCAAGTATTCCATAATGGATACTCTTGCTTCATTACTGACATTCCAAGGAAAATCAGGAGGTAGATATCCATATAAAGCTTGGAAGGGACTCATTTTTATGGTAGTATGATAGCTAGTGTTGTACCATCACTCAGCTAAAGGTAGCCATTGAATCCAAGTTTTCGGCTTAAAAAAGCTTATGCACCTTAGGTATTTGCTTAAAGCATAGGTTAAACCTTTAAGAATGCCCATCTAACTCTAAGTGATAGTTGTGAGTTTCTATAAGGAAATGCTAATAGCTTTATCTATGAAGTTTATGAATTTGACTTAAGTATGCTTAGCCACATCTAAGAAATGAGAAAAAAGTAAGAAGTATGCATATTTGGTAAATTTGTCAATGATAACCATAACACAATTAAATTTCTGAAATTGAGGTAGTTATTATAAAAGTCTTTCCATAAAATACATGGTGATCACTTCCTAGACTTGTAGGAATAGGCTAATAAAAATAGAGTTTAAATCAATAATAAGTTGCTTGGATTCTTGAATGACCTCCTTACGATAAATCATGACGTGGTTGCAATATTTGAGTTCTCAACAGACCTTGACTTTTAAGATAAATGTTGCCTTTGTACTTGAGTACTTTATTATTGAAAGAGTAGTTGGGATCATTTATAGGATTTAAAGTAAGAGTTGTGATTTTTTTTTTGAGCAGTTATATCTTTTTCATAACTATGTTCCACTTCAATTACCCATTCAAACATAAAAGTGGTTGAATGCAAAACATTATTCTTCATGTTGCCTCGATAGAGCATTTGCCATTATATTCTTTTTACCTTTCCTATATTGAATAATGTAATTCAAACCCAACAATTTGGTAAGTCCTTTTCTTCTGAATAGTGTAACAATTTCAATTCTAAGAGATATTTTAAGGCCTCCTAATCAATCTTGATAACGAATAGTCCACTTTTAAGGTAGTGTCTCTACTTGAAAACTGCCATCAAAATAACTAAAGACTCCTTCTCATAAATAGATAAGTTACTATATCAGGACCCGAAACCTTGCTTAAATAGGCAATAGGCCTTTTTTCTTGTGACAATATTACTCATATTCCTGAAAAGAAAGCATCCATTTCTAGGTTAAAAGGCTTTGGAAAATCTGGTAGTGCAAGTACTAGGGCATTACTCATTATTTCTTTTAAGTTGTTGAAATACTATTGTTGTTGCACTTGACTAATGAAATCCATCTTTTTTCAACATATCTGTCAAGGGCTTACTTATCAGTCTATATCCCATAACAAATTTTTTATAGTAGGCAGTCAATTCAAGGAACCTTCTTAGAGATTTTAGACATTTAAGAAATAGCCAATTCATCATTACTTCTACCTTGGTAGAATCAATTGCAACCTTATATGCTGAAATAATATGATCGAGATATTCAACCTGTTTTTAACCAAAGAAACATTTTTTTTTTTGTAAATAGGTGATGAAGTCTAAACCCCTCTAAGACAAGTTTCAAGTGTAAGACATGTTTCTCTAGCGTAATGATATAAACCAATATATCATCAAAAAATACTAACAAACTTTTTTAGATATTCAAAAAACACATTATTCATCAATGATTGGAAAGTGGCAGGTGCATTAATAAGTTTGAATAGTATTACCTTGAATTTATAATGTTTATAATGAGTCTTAAAGGTTGTTTTAGCGATGTTCTTGGCTTTGACTCTAATTTGCCAATATCTTGACTGTAAATCAATCTTGAAGAAGTACCTGGCACCTTTCAATTCATCTAACAAGTTTTCCCATTACTAGAATTGAAAACTTGTCTTTAACTGTTATTACATTAAGTTGCCTGTAGTCAATACACAGTGTTTGTATACCATCTTTTTTCCTTACCAATAGATAGGGAGAAGCAAATAGACTCTTGCTAGTATGAATACTAGATGAGGACAACATTTCTGAAATCTGTTTTTCCATTTCAATTTTTTGATTATGAGGAAACCTGTATTGGCCTCAAATTTATAAGTTGAAGCTCTTCCGTGAGGGGTATATTATAATTATGTGATCGAATAGGTAGTAGTCCTATTAGTTCCTTAAAGATGTTAAAATAAGCAATAAGCAATTCTTGTAGTTCAAGAAGAGTCCCTTTCTCCATACAATCTACATACAATCTACATTGATCATATAAAGCTTTCTATTTAAGTCTTGGTCTTTTCTAGTTATTTTTTGTAATTTTTTACTAGTAATGAGCTTAACACCTAATTGTTTTTTACTTCCTTTCAATGTTACTTGCTGGCTCTCTTTCTAAAAGGTTATAGATAGCTTATTAAAATTGAACATGAAAGGACTATTCCTTTTTTTTTATCTAATTAACCCCAAGAATCATGTCACTACTTTCCATTAACGGTACTATCAAATCATGTAAGAAAACATGCCCTTACATTAACCAAGTTAACTATTTGCATCTGGCACTGCTATATAATCTCTCTTCATTAGCTACTATTATAACTAAAAGATTAGCCTACTCTAGCTCCACTCCCTATCGAGCTCACTTAGGAATGACAAAACTATGAGTGCCACCACTATCGATGAGAATATAAGGTGGTTTCCCTTTTATTGTTCCTTTAATCTTGAGAGTGTTGTGCCCAACACTACCTATAAAAGTATTGATGGAAATTTGTAAGTTTTCATGACTATTTTGTTCCTTAACTCCTTTTGGTTCTCCATCACCATCTCGCATGTTGTTTTCTTTCTTATTAAATTCATCAGTAGTAATGACATTAAATTATTTTATTTTACATACATGGCTTGGTATAAATTTCTCGCCACACTTAAAACATAAATTTTGTAGCTTTTTTGCTTAATAAGTTGCTACCTGTTTGGTATGGAATTGGCTGGTGGGTTTGGTTTTGGTTGAGTATGAATAGGTTTAGGATAAGGGCCAATACTAAAAGTAAACATAGGTTTGGTGGTTTGCTTGTGTCTCTTGTTTTCAAATTCAAGTGATAGTTTTTTGGCTTGTTTGTAGGTAGCAGTAAGGGTTCCAAGTTCATTAGCCTTCACTTTGAGCTTGAGATCATCTTTGAGTCCACTTATAAAGCTAAAAACAAAGTACCATTCGATCAAGTGTGGGTTATATTGCAACATATAAGGTCTTAACTCTTCGAATCTTTCTTGATATTCATCCACAGTAGTCTTTTGGGTCAGCTTGTTAAACTCTTCTATTATGTCAGAATAGGTTTTGTCACAAAACCTCAAGTCATTAGTAAACTTTAGACATAAGGTATCATCAAACAATTTTTGGTGATTAGAAATTGAAATATCTTTAGCATTTTTTAAGCTAATCCCTAAGTTTGCTTTCATAAAAAACCTACAACTCAATCTTAGGTCTAGATGCAAATGTATTCATAATTGTTGAAAAGCTATTACCAGCAATGAAATTAGCATTTTTAAACTGTTCAATATTAAATTGAAAAGTACTACCATTGATTTCATGTTATTTACTAACTAATAGTTCTGCTCCACTAGGCTTAAAAGTATATTTTTCATGATCATCTATTATTGTAATTTCAATAAGTGTCTTACCTCCCCTTTTAGATAAAGAAATAAGAACTGACTAGTTGCTGATCACCTCATGATTTGGGTTGAATTTCAATTGCTTTTTTTAGATCTAACAGTTCAAGCATTTGGCTTATACTTTCCTGTTTCTCAAAAAGTTGAGACTCAATGAGCTTCCTTTATTCTTCCCACCACATTGGAACAGTGGAGTCAACAGTCGTTATAGCCTTAAGTTGCTCTTGCATCACTTGGAACTGCTCTTGTAGAACATTTAGTTTCACTTCATTAGACATGGTATGTTGTTTCTTAGGTTTTCCCAAATTGAAAATAGCCTTTAATACTAATTTTGTTATAAAATGATGCTATTGAATTAACCAGAGACTAATCTAAAGAAGAGAACAAAGAAATAGACCAGAAGATAATAATGTTAAGAACTAAAAAGAGAGATATGAAAGCAAGGAAATTGTGGTTTCTCATTCATATTAAAAAATGTGCATGTACATTACAGTTATACTCTTACAAACCACAACACAATACCGTTGTTATTTTAGTAACTACTTTTCATGCACACATACTCACAATAACTGACTAATCATTGGTTTGACAGCTTACACCAAATAACATCATTCTTAACTCATTTGTATTATTTGTACTGTCAGTTTCCTTTAACCTCTTGTTGGTATCCTTATCAGTATTAAAATTCTTTCTCAACCCTATATTGTCGTCCTTGTTGGCTTTATCATCTTTGTCGGCTTCTATCTTCATTACAATTTAGTCTAATTCTTTTTGTAACATGTTCTATATTGATTTGTTAAGCTAATAATTGACCGAGTAGAAATCATTCATGGTTATTTGTAATTCTCCAGAGAAAGAAAAGAAAAGACAAGAAAAAAGAGTTTTCTTATTGAAGGAAAGGATCTCTGGTTTCCAAGAACAGAAAATTTTTCAAGAGAGAAGTGCTTGTTCACCCAGGGGACATTGTATCTATAATAATCCTACTTGTATGTTATGCTCTTGTTGCTTTTCCTTCAATTTTTTTGTTTCACTTTTTCTTATTCCACCTGTATTATAATTCTTTTATTGATGATTAAAAATCTTGGCCCAAAGTTGGAAGGGTGAAAGCTGGAGAACCATGAGATAAACATAATCATCATAAATGAGACTATGAAAGATCAAGGTCCACTCCGGAAAGCAGTCTAACACAGCGACAGTAGCACCTTTATTAGAAAAGTTTTGTGGCCATACAATCGAGTAGGCCATTTTCAACATGAAAATCTGTTCAGAAAGCATATTCGAGTATCATTCCTGGGATCGCAGTTGCATTTGCAACAATCATTATACCATCAGTGCTGCTGTGAAATGCCATCTCAAACACCTATTATGTGTCGGATGAAATGCATCGGAACCACCTGCCAAGCAACCCACTAACTGAAAAACCAATTTAACTGAAATCTTCTTAGATATGCTTCTCATAATAGCAAAATATGTAAAGGATTTTTTTTACAACTTTGGCCATAAAATTTCTAAGCATTGACTAATTCTAATGCTAATGATTGCAATAGAGAAGGGACGAAAAAAAAAAGGTGCCAAAATGCTGTTCTACCCATAAATCTGCCACATTTTAACATTTTCTTTTTCCACAGTTGCCTATACAAATACATGTAAATTCTCTCCCTACGGCTTATTTAGATTTTAAACAAATGACAGAAACAACTTGTGCTTGCAAATAAGCAAATCTTATTCAGGCTAAAATGGAAACCCAGTACCCCAATATCCACACAAGCAAGTAGTCTTCTGTCCTTTGTACATTTGGCAGCAAAACAGCATATTACCTATGAGCAGATGTATGCGGCATTGGGTACGTCACAGGACCCATGTTCATTGGAGCACCAGTAAACACTGCTCCTGGTACTGGAGCTCTGACTCCATAAGCCATATGTGCTGGGGCAGGAAGATTCACTGGCGTGCCAACTGCTGACACAAGGGGACCTCCTATTGGTTGCCCTATAGTTGGAGTACCATACATGCCAACACCAGGTGGTACAGCAGGATGTTGAGGGGGCTGTTTCGCTGATTTTCCAGAGGAACCTCCAGCTGCAGCAACATTTGATTGACCAGTGATCGGTCCTTGGGGTGCTGAAATGTCTCCATTGCCAACACTGGTAATATCATGGATGCTAGATCGCCTCCTATCTTTGTTCATGGAGTTCAATCGAATGAAATATTTTTGCGCATGACTTGCCACTTGTGTTGGCGTTCTTGTGACCACAAAGTTCCGGGATATGCTTCGCCAATCACCTTTCCCATATTTATCCAAACCAAGAAGAAATAACCTGATTTTCAAGATAAAAAAAAACAGTGACTAAACACACCATTAAAATCATAATATGACAAGCCTATTGGTCAAATGTAATATCAAAATACATCTCAAACTCATAGAATTAGTATAAAGACCATCCTTCTTAAAACAATTAAGCAATTTCAATTGATAAAACCATAGCTCGCTCCTCAACTAAACTTATTGAAAACCATGTCACTCGATTAAAAGAGCATTATTAAAAGAATAGAGAATTTTGCATAAGAGGTTAGTCATGTAAGGGTTTTTTTTTTTTTTTTTCTTCCTACATTATGCAGGAAGCATAAAGCTCAACTTTTTAAAAAAATAATTTAGTTGTCAAGACTTAAACAAACTCTAATAACTAGAAGTCTAGAACACTACAATACACGCCAGAAGAAGAGGAAGAGCGTAATGGAAGTAGAAGATGCTGGTGACAAAAGACAATGTTCAAAAGCCTCACTTGTGACCACCAAAGTCATATCAAGCTGCCCATAGTTACAGCTGTACCTGTATTTTAGAAACCCAATCATTTTATAACAAAATGATAAAATCTAGGCACCAATTTAGCCAAAGAGTGACTCGGGATTACTCAATCCTAGACAACCCTAGAAAACTAGCATACCTTGGAAAGTCAATGGGTTTTTAAATATTACTCTATCAGTAAATATAGACAATAGTATAGTCCAATGTGACCAAGATTTGTCTCCTCAGACATACCTTAATAGATCCACTACAACGAGCATTTAACTAGAATCACCCTATGCACTTTTTCAAATCCTTTAGAAATGATAGCTGTTAATGATAATTAGTCCAAAAGGGGAACTTTAATCGCAGCATATTAAAGCATGGAACCTACCTTTTCCTTCTATCTGATTCTTCCAAAGAAATTCTTAGTGTATATCTAGCCGATTCTTCAAGAGGATCTCCTAACTTTGCTTTGCCAATCCCAAACTTCAGATATAAATAGGCCAAGGCTTCACACAAACAACTCCCAAAGAAGACTGTGTAAGTTAAGGCAGGCCTCTGTAGAGTCATTTTAAAAGTCTTACAAAACCAGAGTCTCTGATGGTTGCACTAACAGGAGTGCCCATGTTAATTCAAATTCTATGACATTGAGACCTTATTACGGACTTGAGTAAACAATCGCCATATCATAAAAAGTAGCCCATAAGAAAAGGTTTATGATCAGTTTTTCTTAAAGTGACCTACCTAACACTTCAAAAGCTCCTAAACAGCTTATGACATGAAGCTCCAGGAGACTCCTCTTTACCACACAGCTTTTAGCATTGTGACAAACACCATTCTTTGCATATGTACAGAAGTTGACATCAGATATCCACCTGGAGCAATTGCACTTGAATTCTACGTTTGTCGTCTTTTCCCCAGATGTCCTTTAGATTTCCAAATGTGATTGCTGCCTCTCTATAGAACAGATTACAACTATTCTTAGAATTAGCATCTAATATTCATGCAACATTTGCTGAATGTTCATCCAATAGATTGTTCATGTCAGGTCTTTCACCAAAGAAATTTCTTAAGTACTACAGATCCCATGTTATGGGCATTTCCTCTGGGTTAGAAGACATTATAGACCAAATAAAGATAAAGAAAAATGTTCAAGGATAACTAATTCATCAAGAGAAAGGATACTAAAACATCAAAAAAAAAAAAAAAGAGTTAGCTAATTTAACACCCTTAGCTCCTTTACCTATGTGTCCCTTTGGACAGAGAACAAATATTCAGATTACTCAAGCACAATTGATTATTGTGCAATGATGCTTCTTTCTCAGTATAGTTTAAATTCAAAACAATTAATTCATTTCTAGTTGCTATGATTTTGCACGAGGGTTTCAAGCCATGGCAGCTTGTTCTATAGCTCCCACACATGTGCCTCCGGTTTGGGACCTTTAATCTTTGATGGTCGACCTTCAAAATTTTGTCACTGCTTTCATAACATGACCAAGTACACCCCCACCAACATTGCAACCGCAACTTGCCTAAAAACATGACCATAATGTCTTCATTCCATTTCCTTTATTTAGAAAGACAATACAACATATTATATTTTTATTACATATTATATTTTTATTTAGAAAGACAATGCAACATATTATATTTTTTATAAGGTGGGCATTAATGCACAAGTTAAATGATAAGAGTGGGCAACTAGTTCAAGTATGAGGTAGTTTGGAATAAATTACATAGATGGTCACTAAATTTATACCCTTTTCCAACTTAGCTCACCAAAATTCAATTTGTCCCAATTTGTTCACTAAACCTTCTAAATTCTATCCAATATGGTCACCTTAACAAATTTGTTCAAATAAATGATGAAATGGTGACATAGTAACTATAAGCAATCATGTCATTTTAAAAATCTATGAAAGTTTTTTGACTTTTCATTTTTCTTTTCTTTTTTCTATTTTGTTCATTATTTCCATAGATTTCCCATTTTAATAAAACCAAGAAACAAAGATGAGAAGAAAAAAAGTGACACAAAAGTTGAAATAGATTTTTTAAATGGTGTAGAAGCTATTATGTCATTATTTCGTCATTTATTTGGGTGAAAGCACTTATGGTAACTACATTGTACACTAAAAAAATATAGGGACCCAAATTGGGACAAATGGAAGTTCAATGAGCAAAATGGGAAAAGGGTAAAACTTTAGCGGCCATCCATGAAATCAACTCAGGTAGTTCATGCTATGCATAGAATCGAATATGCATAATAAACCATTTATTGATGGCAAGTTTTACACCTAAAGCATACCCCAATCTCAACCCATTTACCATTTATATAAAAGCACAAATGAAATTTAAAGTAGAAACTCATTAAATTCTCTGTCATATCTAACCTCGAGAAAAACTAGAGTCGAAGTAAAAAGGTCAAGTTACATATGTCACATAGCTTAGCAGAGACATCTGTGCACATTAGTGTCTCTCAATATGGCCAAGTACACATACCTAGGGTGTGTAGCCAGCTAGCCTAAAATGCATCTGCATGCATCCATGTAAAATTGTGAGGAGGGGAAATTTTTATTTGACTTAAATTTACATAATTTATCCTATTAAATGAGAAAAACATAATGCTAAACTTACAAAAATTAAGGGAGAAAGAGGAGTAAACCAATATCATTAGAAATTATCACTAATATGATACAAAATTGGCAGAGTCTATACCTATTATTAGTTCTTAGTAACCTAAATGGGCCAAACAAACCAAATTCATACCCTCAATGAACTTACCAGATATTGTGCACTGAAACCATCACAAATAGGACTAATATCCACCAATCATCTAAGGCGTAATTCATTTAGACTGTGGCTTGATGGACGCTTGAGCTAAAAACAACCTAAATAGTTAAATTTGATGCAAACTTGACCACATCCCATAAATAGTTCTTACTTGGAAAGGCATGGTTTCGCACCATAATGCATAAGGGATATGCGAATCAAACTTGCCCAACAAAGCAAAAGTGGCTGTGTAACCTAAACCCCAATTCATGAGAGTTCATGGATGAAATAAATCGCATAGGCTATTATCATTTTCATCAATTCTTTTCTTATATGTTAGCCTGGTCAGAAGTTAATTCTCTACCAGAACTCTTGTCAAGTTGTCACTTTCCTTTCACATCACAATCAAATTTGGCAAGCACTTTAATAATGGAACCATAAACTGTTATGCCAAAAAAATTGTTGAATATAAGAGGCATATGCCAACTGAAAGCAATCAAAACCTAAAATGCCAACTTTAGGTCAAAAAGAAGGGCTATTATGATGGTTTCCAAAAGATTTGCCCAAGTCAGACAAGGTTAAATGGTTAATCTGTAGATAAAGGCCACAAGTGCCATACAGGCGACATTTAAAGATTGTATGATTATTATCTTTTAGGCAAGCAGTTTTCTGGAAAAGAGAAAATGAACAACCGCCAGCAAGATCTCTTCCATGTGGTAACATTAAAATTCCCTTCAGTTATTTCACATCATTTCCAGAGATATCATTCATCTATTGGCCTTCTACAGAATCAACAGCTTCAAAGTAACGCACAGAGAAAAACCTTAAATAAGAAAGCCATGCAGAAGATCTGAGCTTCCTAACAACTAACCAGCAATAACCATCAAATAGAATTTTTACTGGTGGAAAGCAATTTTTGGAAACTTTTTTTTTGTCAAATAAAAATCAAAGATTCTAAATATGCAAAGGATATGCAATTCCAAGACAATCAAAACATAACAAATGCACCGAATTACTAAATATAAAGCATAAAGAACACTAAGTATTAAAGTTCCGCAGGGCAGAATAAGACTCAGTCAAGATTCTTCTAAAGGTGCATAATCAATCTAACTGAAAAAAGAAAATAAAATATTTTAAACCACAAAAACTAATTCACCTGTGCTCATCCTCTGTCCAAGCAATCCCCTTACGACGTTCCTGATCTGACCTTGAATTCTTACTCCCATGATTTGGCTCACTGTTATAATGCCCTAAATGGCCGCTTCCTTTCTTACCAGTCCCTTCGTCACCAGCATGGCTTGTTGAACTCTCAGAAGAATTATACGATGGCAAAGGCACACAACCAGATTCAATCTGGTTAACATCATCCTCCAGAATCTCATAGTGTTCTTTAATCTCTTCCAAAGTTTTCCCAGGGACATCAGCCGCAATTTTCTCCCACCGATCTGAAGAGTCCTCAGGATAAGTTGCGAGGGCATTCTCAAATGCCTTATCTTGCTCCCTACTCCAATCGGAGCTGCTGCCAGCTTCATCCACAGTCATCTAGGCTTGTCTGAATCCACTATCCGCGGGAAGAAAGAACTGAATTGGCCAAATTAGGATAGCCCGTAATCCATTTCCAAAACTATATTATTTCAGTAGTGGGTTTCAGTAACAACAGGTATAATGGAATACTTAAATTTTGGGGAAGCAGAGATGTCAAGCAAAAGAGGCATGCAAGAAGAGAGAAAATAGACCCAGAAAAAGCCAAGGCAGCTTAACCAGAGATCAAAGTCCAACAAAATTCAGAAAGCCCCAGAGGAGTATGAGAAAAATTCAGTAGTGATATGCTCCACGATTTAAAAATTGGACTCTTGTGAAATGCTGACCTATTGCCGAATGAAAAGGCAACAAAGTTCTGCTAGACATGAGAAATATCTGAAAACCATAAAATCAAAGTAATAAATAGCAGTTCAAAACATTAAAAAATAAAAATTAATGCACGGTCAATTCAACGGCAAGGTAATTAGGGTTTTTCAAAGGGATAATGTAAAAATCAAACAAAGAAGAAAAACCCAGAAAGTGGATAGAATGAGAATGCTAGTTGCTATTTCTAATTCCAACAAAAACGCGGTAAACCAAAAGCCTACTGATAACAACAATTTTAACAGCACAGGCCCACATAAAGTTATCCTACTACTGCTTTGTTAAAAAAAAAAAAGATTTGACAGCAAATTCTTCAACTCCTCTTTCTTTGTTTTCTTCTAATGAAAATCGATTGGAAGACTTAAAACTACAAATTGCATTGAAGAAGGTACTTAAAGTTTCAGTTATTTATATAATCAAGAATTTTAAGGAAAAAAAAATCAATTTTCAAAATTAAAACAATAAGCGAAAGAATTTTTAGCCGCCAGTTCAAAACGGAAAATAACCATCTTGAAAAAAAAAAAAAAAAAACCCCACTAACCTAATACCAAGGTTCTTTTACTAGGATAGGTGATTCTTGGCATTCTAATTCCCATTTACCTGCCAGAATTTTCAACTCTTGAGTTAGGATCTGGAAAAAAGCTCACCTCAACCTATCTCAATGTTCAAACTTAAAAGAATACTGGATAACTATACAAAATACATAAAATGAAAGACCACCTACAACTCCTGTCATTATTAAGATTATGACATTTTAACCGACAATGAGATAAATTTTTTGTTGCAAACTTTTAACAAAAATCTAACCTTTGATAGTGCCAAATCTTATTCCACCATCTCCTCTTGTATTTCTGTCAAGATCTTTTCTAAAAGGAAAATTCTAGCATATATTTCAATCGTAAGTTTTACTTATTTATAAGGCACTAAGTTATAGCTATGAAGTGAAATTAGAATCTTCTAATAAAAATAAATTGGTAAAAAAAATCATTAAAAAAAAAAACTCAAAAGAAATGCAAATTATTGACAAATTTACAAATATAAAAATTATAAATGGCATGAAAATTACAAATATACACAAAGAAGTTGCAGGATGGGTCAATTGGTCCCATCACCTTCAACAACTACTTTGCTAGAGGACAGCTGGAATTGAAAAAGCCTCACATCCCCTCCAAGTTGCTCAAAGACACTGGAATCTGCAATTCCCATTAATATCTGACACGATAATAACATATACAAACAAAATTTTTTTAAAAAAAAAGAACAACTTTTTTCAGAGAGAAAAAGGCCAAATTGAATTTCTCTTTCAATTTTTCTTACTTTTTGAGGCTCCAAACAATAAAAACAAATTTAAATGTCAGTAGATGAAATAACAATAACCGGTTGCAGAGGATAATATATAGTTTAATAATAATTCTTATCATATTACTAGATGCATCCATAATGATTGACTATAAATGATTACCTTTCTTTTCTTTTTTTTTTCCTTTCCTTGTTGTTGTAGACAGAAAGAAATTAAACAAAGTTTCAATCTTCGATTTTACCAACAAGTTTCAGTTGCTGACTGTTCTTACAAAAGAAAAAACAAGTCAAAAGGCAATGGACGAGTTGTTGTGTAATAGGAGCTTGTGTAATAATGTACTTCAAACCCCAAACCCAACAGAAATAGAGACAAAAGGAGGGCTTATTATTTATTCGGTCCTGTTTTATTAATTTAATTACTTTCCTTCTTATATCTGGGTTTTTTCACCTTAAAAATGGCTGATGCTAGCCATTTTTAATGGGGAAAAAATGGGGTATTTCCATTTTACTGTTTTAGAATTGATTTGGATTTGATGTTCTCCCCTGGGACATGCCTGCTTCCTGTTTTTATCAACCAATGACTGAAGTTTTATCTCTTTGGATTGCTTAATTTGGAATTCTGACCTTGAAAACCGATGTTTTTGGTCATTGCCTTGACATTTTGGATAATGTCTGGATTCAATGCCCAAGTTGTCATGTAATAATAATAATTTACAAAGCAATCATTTATTGCCAGTTCCCACCTGGGCAACGGGTCAAAGTTCACGAGTCTATCAAAGCACATGGTCTGAGGCCCCTGTGGCTTTAATAATTGCAATTTATTGTGTTTCCGTTCCCCACTATTTCACGCACAATTTGGTTTTGCTTTACCTTTTGTATCCCAAAAATTAGTGTTTTTGGACACTACTGTTTGAAACTCGCATCAAATTAATTTTTCTTTCACTATTATTAATATAAAAGCAAAAAAAAAATTTGTGGAGAAAATGTTGTGAAACGTAACAAAAAAGTTGAAAATTTTAACAAATTTTCCAAGTTTTCATTTCGTTTTGCTTTTAAGTTTTTCATGAATCACACTCAATAGTGGAGTATCTACTTGCGTTATATTTGTTTAATTAGATTCCATTCCAGTACGATTCTGGATTGGTGATGATTTTTTTTTTTTTACATTAAAAATGATTATTATGTGAAAATTATTATTTTTTAAATATTCAAAATCATCATTTTTTAATATGTCGATAATAATTAATACAATTTTGGTTTGGCGACAAAGAGATATGTTGGTAATTAGAATTTTGAAGTTTTAAATTTAAGTGTTATTGTGTGTAAGTTTTATTATTTATATTTTAGTTTGTGTTAATTTTGTATAAATATATAAAAATCAAAATTTTTGTTAAAAAAATAAATTATCTAATGTGAATAGTCTATATAATTGATATGTGAACGATTTTTAAAAATAATCATGTCTTACATTTAATTTTTTTAATTTGAATTAAATTAAAAAATATTTCAAAAAAATTAATTATAATTCTTTTCTTTTAAAATTTTAATTTAATTACTTAGTTTTTTATGTTTATCTGACTTTTTATAATCTTTTATAATTAAGATTTTAACTTTAATTATATTAAATAACAATATTTTCTTTTCCTATTTGCCAAAAGGTTTTAATATAAATTTAAATTGTTTATAATCATACTTATGTCAAAATAAGTTATGTGAGAAGATTATTATAAAAAATTCATTTAAAATAAAAAATATCAATTTATAAGTATACTATAAAATTTATTAATTATATTAAGTTTATTTATTAAATTTCATATAAGATTTCTTTTCATTTTAGTTGATATTAAGTTTTTTTTTTTTACACAAGTATGTTCGGAGATGATGTGAATAAGTTTTAAATATGTCATATTTTTTTTATATTCTTTATTACAAAATTAAAATACAAACATATTTTTGTTTAATTATTTATTACAAAAGATAAAATACAAACAATGTCGTAACTAATTAAAAAGTACTTTTATTATGATATTTTAAGCATAACATTATCCCATTTTATGAATTTGTTAATAATTTTTTAAATCTATAATCATTGCTCTTAATCAATTTTCTCAAATTTTTATTGAGTTTTATTTTAGATAATAAGATTTTTATGTTATGCAATTATATCGTATTATCATTGTAATTATTTTTTTAAAATTGGAATACATAACTAGAGATACGAATGAAATACAAGAATATAAATTCACACTTTTTTTGGATTTATTCAACTAAAATCAGTACACATAATTTTTCAACCCAAAATATATAATTAAAACTCTTTATCATTATTTCTTTTTAATTTTGATAATTTCATAATTGTTTTAATTTTTATATTTTAGTCCATAAAATTGTATAAAAATCTATACCCAATGCAAAGAGGTGTCAAAACATTCATTTTTTACTGAATTAATTACATTAATTTTATTTTAAATATCTATTTATCTTATTTTTTTACTATTTGTTTTTTTTTTAATATTAAACATATAGTTGAAATCAATTTATCGTAAAATCATGATAATTTACTAGAAATATCACTCTTATCTTTTTTAAATATTAGCTCCTTTTCAAACCAAAATTAAAATTTTGAGTTAATTCAAAAATATTTTTTCCCTTTCTAATCATATCTCATTGATGTTATGATTCAATTTCTTTATCACTTTGTCCATCACTTAAATTATAAAATGTTGAGTTTTTTAATTCACTCAAAGTATTTTTTTTGTAATTTTTACAATTTTTACATGATTAATCAAAAGTTTTTATTACCATTTTACTTTTGTATTCTGTTTTCTTTTTTCTTTTATTTCATAACAATTTATTAATTTTTTCCACTAAATAGTTATATAATATGTTTTTTTTTTATTTATATGAATTGACTTAACTTTTTACTTATCTATCAATTTATTTGCTTTTTTCTAATACTATTTATATTTGAAAATTTGTAGAATATTTTAACAAATTATATTTTTATGCAACATTTCATATGAATTTATGTATTTTAGATGGATTATATAATTTACAAAGAAAAAATAATTGTATTAAGAATACTTATTTCATTAAAAAAAATATCAATTTATATTTATATTTTAAATTTTTTATTTTTATATAAAATTTATTAATAATATTATAATTAAATTATATATATAATTATTACCCATGCACTACACAAGTCTAATACCAGTTACTTTTTATATGAAATACAATATGTGCTTAATATAAAAATCTATAAAAACTTGATTTAGTATACAAGTGGTCTTAGCCAAAGTATATAGAGAGTAGATGTTAATAAATTTTAGATTATTGTAGAAGTTTTAAGGAGTAATTATTTGTTTTCTTTAGAAGTACAGTAATTTTTTATAGTTAGATTTAATTCTTTATATGCTTTATAAAAAAATCACTCTATTTATAAAATTTTGAAATATATTGAGAAGGATATCAAAAGAAAATTCAGCAACTACAGAAAAATTACCTAGGATGTTGTTAGTTTGGCTTTTTTTTTTTTTCAAACTTAAGGCATCATTCAAAAAATACCAGATTGATTGTTTTTTTTAATAGTTTTTGTGTTATAAATGAGATTTATATTTCATTTTTAATTTGATTGTAGTTTTCTTTAAGCTCTAGTTGATTTGCAACATTAGTTTTTGATTTAGCATTTTTGTCCTAATAATTGGGATAAATAATTAATTGATTTTTTGTGCTAGTAGTTGTTTATTAAATTTCATATAAGATTTCTTTTTATTTTAGTTGATATTAAGTTTATTTTTTACATGAACATGTTTGGAGATTATGTGAATAAGTTTTAAATATGTCATATTTTTCTTCTATTCTTTGTTACAAAATCAAAATACAAACATATTTTTGTTTAATTATTTATTACAAAAAATAAAATACAAACAATGTTGTAACTAATTAAAATTTACTTTTATTATAATATTTTTAGCATAATATTATCTCATTTTATTAATTTGTTAATAATATTTTAAATCTATAATCATTGCTCCTAATTAATTTTTTAAAATTTTTATTAAGTTTTGTAGACACCCCAATTTGTCTAAGGTCTACTAAGTTTAGATTTTGTTAATAAAAAATAAAAAATAATAAATAAATAGAAAAAATAAAAAATTAAGAAAATTTTAGGGTGGTTTAATTTGTTTAGGTTTGTTTATTTGTGATTATCAATTTAGGTTAAAACTAAAGTTTGAATTTAAAAGCAATTCAAATTCTTTTCTAGTTTAGGGTTTTCAAATTTGAAATCCTATAAATACATGGCTATGGCAAGCAACAACGGAGAAAAAAGACACACATCAACAGAACATAGAAAACACAAAGAACAGAATATAGAGATTAGAGCAAGGAAAAGCAGTCACGAAATAGTTAGAAATTTTTAGAGAATTTTTGAAAAAAATAAATTTTTTTTAAAAAATTTTCTAGAAAATTTCTAGATTTTAGCAAAATTTTTTGACGCCGTTTGAATTTTTCGACGAGATTCCCAAATTCTGACAAGTTTTCCAGTTTTTGGCAACATATTTTCAAAAATCGATGAAGTTTTGGTCAACTTTCAATGAACAAACTCAGATTTTGATAATAATTTTAAAAATCCAATGAATGTTCAACATATGTTTTTAGGGAATCTAGAGAGAGAAAGAAAGAAAATGGAAGAAGAGAGAGAGGATGAGGGAGAAATCTAAGAAAAAAAG